TTTCAGGTTTCTTGAATGTTGTGACTTCCCGTTGCCATTTTGGGTCAAGGTGTTCACCTTGACCGGTCCGGGAAGGATCGCTTGATTTTTCGGTGGTCAAGAACTCAGCTCTAGGGCCTGGGAGATCGAGCCATGGCTGGTTGGGGTACTCCAGTTCAATCTTGGGAGCAGTACCAAGGTCATGGGCAAGATCAAGGCCAGGGCGGAGGATGGGGTGGGCCAGGTCCCCGTGATGATCGGCGCGCTCGCGGCCGAGGGGGAGGTGGGCAGTTCCCACAAGCAGCTCATAACCCCTACGAGGTCCGTTTACCCCACTTCATTGAGTCGATCGCTGAATGTGAAGACAACGAGCGAAAGACTTCCATCATCATGGTGGACAAGCGACATGATCGGATCGTGTCGCCTTTTCAGGCTTGGCTGGTTCGTGAGATCATGACGAACAGGTCGAGTTCGATCAATGTTCTCACAGAGAGAGATCAGGTGATGCCACCTCAATCAGGTTATCACCTGTCTCTCTTTGCGAACTACACGCTCGATGGTTTCAAGGCGACGGTCGCGATCTCGATCGACTCGCAGACTGGGGCTCCTTGTGGTGGATGGGATCCTGCCACCGCAAATGCTCTTAGCCACGTGGCTTTTCAGCCGTTTTCGTGGCCAGTGCTCAACGACACATCCCCTTCCTACACGGATGTGAAGATCTACAATGGGAATGAGATCTTGTTCCACTGGATCTTCAGAGGCTTTCGCGCTGACACTGATCTGTCAGTTCAGCAGCAGTTCGCCGATGAGTTCTTCATCAAGGGTGTCTGCCGCGGTCGTGTTCGGTTGTCTGTGGTCGTGGCAGCTTTTTCAGGCTGGCGGGTCTCCGTGTTCTTTTTCGAATGCGGAGGTCGGACCTATTCGGTCGGTCCCAGTGGCACGGGATCGCCGGCGACAGTGCAAGGTCGCGCTTCGAGCTCCGAGGCTCGTCTGAGGATGCCGTGGGGAACGATGCAGATCGAGTGGAGTTCCGCTACCGTGACTCCAACAACCGCATCGATCTGAAGTGCGCTCGCACCTCGGTGCCGGCAACTTGGCTCACGGTGTCGCATATCAGCGGCCCCACCCTCATCCAGACGATCACGGTGCAGGGAACAGCGAGCTCGTGTGGAGGGGCCAGAGCAGACTGAGCAGTTCGCTCAGCTTGCGGCGGCTCACCAGCACTGGTGGCACAAGGCTTATACGCTCGATGCCGAGAAGGTCGGGGTCCTTGTCACGTTCGTGGCTGGACTGGATGCGGGCAATTTTCATGCGCAGACGGAGAGCGAGCTCTTTGTTCGGGAGTCAGCACAAGGGCGCTCGCTGAGATGACGCATGAAGGTGCAGCTCTCGGGGGTTGTGCCCAGGGGTCCCCCAGCTCTCGCACAGGGGGCTTGGACCGCGGTCGCCGAGACAGCCCAGGCCATCACCGACACAAGCCGGGGCTCTGGCGAGGTCGCTCTTCGTACCCGAGCTCAGGACGATATTCGGGACAGGGTGTTCGCCGCTGCCGTGGAGCCAGCCGTCCCCTATGATCAAGGGGACGAGGAGGACACCCGGGCGGGGGCACTTCTCGGACCCCGCTCGGGACACAGCTCGCGAGGACCGCTCTTCTGAGGTCGCCGGCAAAGCTCACGCCGCAGATGCTCGTGGAGCTCAGCACTCAACGGTGGTAGTTCGTGAGGTCATGGAGGCCGAGCCGGATCAGGCAAGGCAGTGCCGGAGAACCTCATGGGGCCGCTCGGCGAGCCAAACTCGTTCCGACCCCACAGGACGCCGTGATCGGCACGAGAAGGCGGTCGCCCAGTTTTGTTTTCGAGCGCTCGCTTTAAAGAAGGCTCGCTCACAGGGGCGATTTAATTTCGCAAGCTCCCGCATTTTGGATGTTCGCCGACTTGTTTGCAGACAGCCCGCTCGGGAAGAGCTCAAAAAGAACCGGCCGCTGGTTTGCAGCAGCCGTTCTTAGCTGAGACTTGCAGTTCTGTCAGCCAGTGCTTTTTCAAGCTCAGTTCACGGTGAGGTCATGTGCAGCAGCAGTTCAGCGTTTGCATGTTCATGCTTGTGAGTTCTGCACATGCACATGGCAGTTCTGAGGTACAGTCACATGTTCTGGCAGTCGTGTTCTCACTCCCTCTCCTCTCTTCCACCTCTCTGCTCCTGCTCTCCACTCCGGGAGCCGATCGATGGACAGCCAAGATCTTGGCTTTCCCGTGTTTCGATCGGCCCTTTGTCGAGGCCCTTCTCAGGACGCGACTCTCCAACTTGCAGCTAGTTCTGGCGATGGAGGTCGAATTCGCCAGGTACGTTCGCAGCCAAAGCTTTCGAATGGACAGCTAAGCTCGCACCCGCAGAGCACGAGGTCTTCTCCTCTCGGCCACACATGTTGGAACAGTTCTGGGTGTTCGCCAAAGCGGCCGAGACTGTCTTTTCGGAGCCGCTCGGCTACCAGATGGGTTTGGGTCGATGCGAGAAAGTTCATCGCTCAATTTCAGCGGGACTTGGTGATCCGCGCCCTGGCTGCACCTGTTCTGGCACCTAAGGCTAAGATCCACACCCTCGGCAGGATCCGGCTCAAGCTCTTATACACCTCTGCTGGATCTCGAGAATGCAGAGAAGCAGAAGTGGGCAAAGCGGCGCAAGGCTATCGCCGGATGTGCAGGCTCCCGTGCAAAGCCGCTCTCCACCGTGGACAACGAGATCCTTTCGGCAGAGGAGCGGGCTCGTCTCCAGCTCTTGGTGTTCACCTCTGGAGCTCCTTCGACCATGGCGAATCATATCAGGAGGTTCGAAAAATTCGAAGCGTGGGCTCGCCGCTCTGCACTTCCTCTGTGCCCGATCACGAACGATCTGATCTTAAAGTACGCCGTGGAGCTCGATGGTCGCGAATGCGGACCAACGGTGATCCCGTCCTTGCGGATGGCTCTCAGGTGGGTGTCCTTTCGGACAAACATCGCGGTGCCATCTATCGACACCGCTCCCCTCAAGGCGCTCGGGAAGGAAGTCTTCACACAACGGGGCAAGCCGCTCAAAGAAGCAGATCCAATTCTCATCGAGCTCGTGATGGCAATGGAGAAAGTTGCCGACGATCAGATGCCGAACCCTACTCGGATCTTCCTATGGTGGACGTTATGCATGATCTTCGCATCCCTGAGGTTCGATGATGCTATCCATGTCAAGCCGCACGAGCTCGAGGTGAAGCCTGAGGGTCTGTTCGGCGTCTCTTGGCAAACCAAGAGTGAACGCAAAAGACGGGGAACTAAGTTCGTGGTCCCCGACGTTTCGTTCTCGAAGCACTCTTGGTTCAAGTCCGGCCTTGACCTCTTCGAGCTGGAGTTCGCTCTCGTAGAGCGCGATTTTTGGATACCAGATCTGGAGTCGAAGACGCAGTGGCGAACGACTCCGCCGGACTATGCGCGATCGCTGCAATGGCTGCACCATTTGGTCTGGCACGCGGGCAAAGAAGCGGGTGCCAGTCAAGAAGCTCTGCAAAAGGTAACAGCTCTTACATGGCACTCGGCCCGGGTTACCGTGCTCGATCAGGCAGTTCACTGTAAGCGCGCCCAGCAAGCGATCGGGGTGCAAGCGAGCTGGAAAAATCCAGGTCCGCTCGTGCTCAAGTACACCCGATCGCGCTCCTCTCTGCCTGCTCTCATGATCAAAGATCTGGTCTCCGAGGTCTCAAAGGAATATGAGCCCGAATGCGCTCGCGAAGACGACGCTATCGACGACCCCGAGGATCACGGCGACTGTCTGACGGAGTTCTTCATTAAAGCTCCTGGAAAAGGAACCAGCTATGAATATAAGTTTCATGTTTGTTCGTCTGAACCAATCGAGGAGATCGCTTGTAAGCGCGAGATCACCTCAGAGTTCGTGCATATAGGGTCGGTTCTTCCTGACCCGAAGATGCTCTGTAAGCTTTGTGCACGCGCTCGACCGGACGTTCTGCTTGCACTTAAGCTCTGAAGACTCTGCCTTGCTTTGCTTGTCTCTGTCTTGTTCAGGTGTTCGCTGAATCGCTCGCGTTTCGGCTCACTTTTAGATCCTCGTCATGGTTGATCGCACCGTCTATCCTGACAATGACAAGGACAAGATCCCAGAACTCGCGCTGCGGCAGATCTTCGGTCGACAGAAGCTGCCTGAGGACCTATGTCTGCTGCTCGCCGACAAAGGCATGCTCTCGGTCGAGCGGGTGGCTATGTTGCTCGCGGCAATCTGGAAGTCATCTTCCACGTTACAAGAACATGTCGCCACTCGGCGGGCGAAGATGGAGGAAGATCCCTCCAAGATCCCGGAGATCCCTGGAGAAGATCACCCGGAGTTTCGGGAGATCTTCGTAAACCAGCACCCTGACGTGATTCTCACTTATATGCGCGAGCCGCACCGGAAGTTCGTCGAGCGCACCCATCGTGACTACATGGTCCACGGGGCGGTCGCCTTCTACGAGGTCACAGAGATGCGCTCTCGATCTGATCAGATCGTATCAACTTCCGGGCTCTCCAAAACCTCCGATGATCTGCTCAGGGTCGTCCAGCATGACAACAAAATCTCTGCTACATCCGAGGGCAGTGTGATGGATCGACTTCATGCTTTTTTCGTGGCGCTCGAGTATTAACATTTGCGAGTTCACCATGGAGGCGGGCCCGCTCACGTACCTCTCTGAGCTCGAAGAATGGCGCCATGAGAACAAGGGTTCTATCGCTCCTGCTCTCAGCGGATTCTTTGCTCCGCAAAAAGGTCTATAAGCTCTCGAATGGCAAACGGAAGGACTTCCCTACCTTCTCGTCAGCTCTCAAGGAAGTTCTCAAGAACCACAAGCAGCTCTGGAACGACGCTCGCTCAACGGCTGAGCTCGACAAGTTCAAACAAGTCGAGCACGATCCGTCTTCTACGAAGAGGGGCTAGATCTACCTCGCCGCCTCCGCCTCCAACACCGACTTCGGAAGCTCGCACCAAGAAGAACAGAGCTCGTCGTGAGAAACAGAAAGCTCTTCTGAAGCAGGCGCGCGAGCTCGCCAAAGACAAGGACAAAGATAAGTCAGGCAAGCCGTCAGGAGGCGCTAAGCTCACAGCTCGTGCCGATCGTGACCCTCGCATCCCCGAGAAGGAGTGGAAGAAGATCATGTCTTTCACCTATACAGGCGCTCGGCGGTGCCCCTTGGTTCAACTGTTCGCTCGGTTGCCGCTTTGGTGATCAGTGCCGCAACAAGCATATCTGCGTTCAGTGTGGGGGTGATCACCCCTACCATGGCAACCACTAACCTCCTGCTGCTTCGCCCCGGGTCTGTGGTCTGGAGGCCCTGGGCGACACGCTCCACAGACCGCCGGGGGACTTCTCCCCTGAACAGGCAAAGTCGTCTCAGACAACTTTGTCGGCGACGACATGTGAAGCTCCTTTTCAGAAGCTGAGTTCGGCTGCTCTTTGCTCAACCCCTCCGTCGTCTGCCTGGTCGCAAGTGCCTACGGATCCATATCTGGTGCGAGATCTCGGCCCTTGGTGCCTGGAGCTCTTCGCTGGCAGCGGCGTCTTCACTGCTCACCTACGCCAACGAGGTCTTCGGGTTCTACCGCCGATCGACGTCCTGCAGTCTTCGGAAGTCACTGAGCAACGAGATCTCCTGGACGGCGACTTTTTCGAGCAACTGTTGCTATTGGCGCGCATGGGCGCGATCGGCTTTCTGCACGTGGGCCTGCCTTGCTCTACGTTCAGTCAGGCTCGTCAACGTCCCGGTGGTCCGCGGCCGTTGCGCTCCCGATTAATGCCGCTCGGTCTGGAGCACAGATCTGCTGCGGAAGAGGATCAACTTTTCGCGGCCAATGAGCTCTTGAATCGATCCCTGCTGCTCATGCACTCAGTGATCAACTCAGGGGGCGACTTCTCTCTCGAGAACCCCCTTAGCAGTCTCCTTTGGCAAGTCCCCGCAGTTCAACAACTTAAAGTTCGACACCGCCTGTACAACGTGGATTTTGATCAGTGCGAGTTCGGTGCCACTTCCAAAAAGGCCACACCTCTCTTGGTCAGCAATGCGCTTTTTCTACAGCTCTCGCGCACATGTTCAGGTGATCATCTGCACGTTCTGCTCAAGGGTAAGGTTCGTGGTTCCGATGGCCACCTCATCTTTGCGACCAAGCCGGCGCAGATCTATCCTGTCGGTCTTGCGCTCGCGTGGTCCGCAGTGGTGGAGCAGATCCTCCAAGGGACTTTGCCGCAGTTCGCGCGGTCTTTCGACTTGGTCACCGAGCCCGCTGATCGGAAGCGGAAGATTGGTGAGTCTGTTCCTTGGCAAGGTCACAGACAGGAGCAAGCTGCTCGCCTTGCAGCCGCCAGTGGCTACCAGCTCAAGCGAGGCGCAGCCAAGCCGCTCCTCGAGATCGAGTCTGAACCAGGCGTAGCTATTCGCTGGACTCTTCAGATCACACATCCGTTCACAGTCCAGCCGGAGATCCCTGCCGAGATCTCCGACAACATCAACGCCATCTCGTCTGCGCCCTTACCTCTCGTGGATAGGCGCTTGCGAGATCTGCAGTACTGGAAGGATCGCGCCGCAGCTTTTGTGCCGGAAACTGATCAGGAGCTCCGCCCGATCCCCGATGCTGCTCTGCGCCGTCTTCTTCGAGGGAGGCCAGATTATGCCGATCTGCAGATGGGGTCCTTTACCCATGTCAAGCTCTATGACGAGTTGCTCGAAGCCTCCGGCTGCGCTGGCGCTGACCGTTCTCTTGCGCACGGTCTGCGCACTGGGTTCCCGATTCCGATCGTTGGGCCTATCCAGCGATCTGGACGATGGCCTGAGTACCCGAAACGTCAAGATCCCGTTAAGGTCTCTGAGGCGGAATCTCGGGCCTGGGAATTTCGCAGAAAGATCTTTCGAAGATGTAGTGCCGTTCCGGTCTCTGACAATTTGCGCTCGCTATGGAAGTCTACCATGGAGGACGTCGCGGAAGGCTCGACCGTGGGTCCTTTTCAGAGCGAAGAGGAGGTGACTCAGTTTCTGGGCTGTGACGATTGGATCCCGACGCAGAGGTTCGAGGTCGTTCAGAAGAATAAGGTCCGAGGCTGTGATAGCGCCACCTCCAACTTGATCAACAAGACGGCGGTGATCACCGAAAAGCTGCAGCTACCGTCTACGGATCTCAATGTCGCAGTTCTTCGCGAGCTCAGGACTAGGGCTGGAGATCGTCGTCTTCAAGGCTGGGTGCTCGACGAGAGGAAAGCCTATCGACAGCTGCCGATCTTGCCGCAACACCGCAAGTTCAGCGTGATGTGCCTGAAGGATCCCGATGACGATCGTCCCAAGTACTTTGTCATGATCGGCCACTCCTTTGGTTTGGTCTCTGCGGTCTACAACTATAACCGTCGCTCGGCCGCTCTGAATGATATCTTTACCCGTTTGTTCAGGATGGTGTCGTTCAATTTCTATGACGACAAGTACGGGTTCGAGACCGAACTCACCGCTCCTTCGGCGAAGTTCGTTGCCGAAACCATTCATTGGCTCCTGGGCCCGTCTTTCGACCAGAAGAAGCTTCAGGTCTCGTTTCTCCCGGTGGTTCTGGGGGTTACCTTCAACCTCGAGGACTTTCTCCTTGAGATCAAGGAGGAAAGGAAGGCCGAGCTCGTTGAACCGATCGACGCGATCTTGGACTCCGGCACTTTAGATCCCGGAACGGCCGGCACATGTTCGGATCAAGCCAGCTCTGGGGCAAAGTCGGTCGAGCTTTCTTCCGTCCCCCTCTCGGAGAGGCAGTACTCTAAGGATCTCAGTGGCGATCGCATGGACCTCAATGAGGCGTTGAAGCGTTCGCTGATCTACTGGCGGGGCCTCATTGAGTTCGGCCCACCCAAGGAGATCTCTTTACGGGCTTCCAAGAGGTCGGATATAGTGATCTTCACGGATGGCTTTACTCCTGATCAGAGGAAAGCTGAATGCGGTCCTGATCGGATCGGAGCCGTGATGTTCGATAGGAGGGGTCTCGCGCCGAAACAGTTCACTGAGGTGATCCCTCGCTCGATCTCGGAGAAGTGGATCCCGCGGAAGACTCAGATCGTCCCCATCGAGATGATCGCTCCTATCTTGGCTCTCGAAACTTTCCGAGATCATGTTCGGAACAAGGATGTGATTCTTCTAATCGACTCGGAGGCTGTAGAGGCATCCTTGGTCAAAGGATATTCCTCCAAAGAAGATCTTTGCGAGCTCGTTGAACTCTTCTGGGAGCTCTTGCTCGAATATCGAGCCAATTTCTTTATTGATCGAGTTTCAACAGATGCCAACTTTGCCGACTGGCCGTCAAGAGATCATCTTGAAATCGGTGAGTCGGCGGGCTGGGAGACGGTTTTATGCTCGTGGCCTGCGGCTCTGGCTTGAAAACGAGATCACGGGCCTGGGAGAAGCTCTTGTCTTGAGGGTCGTGAAGACTCGTTCGAGACTTCGGCGGTCGGTCCCGCGAAGGTCGAACTGACTGCTCGTTCGAGCTTTTCTGCTACGGACTACTTCTCTCGAGATGGTCGGTGGTGGGGTGTGAGCGGGTCGGGGATGTGACCTTGTGTTTCATGATGCTCGACGTGCCGCTCGACCCCATGCCAGAGTGGTCTAAAAGGTCTGCCACTCTGCCTCTCTCGGGCTGCTGATCAGTGAGTTCTGTCGAACGTGCATGCGGGTAGTGTGGTTCTCATATCAACGGCTAGGTAGGTCTGGGATATGAGGATCACTCTGCTGCATGAGATCAGCTGCCTTTTCAGGTTTCTTGAATGTTGTGACTGCCCGTGGCCATTTTGGGTCAAGGTGTTCACCTTGACCGGTCCGGGAAGGATCGCTTGATTTTTCCCCACCCAACCCACCCTTGTGAAAAGGGGGAGAAGCTCTTGTCTTGAGGGTCGTGAAGACTCGTTCGAGACTTCGGCGGTCGGTCCCGCGAAGGTCGAACTGACTGCTCGTTCGAGCTTTTCTGCTACGGACTACTTCTCTCGAGATGGTCGGTGGTGGGGTGTGAGCGGGTCGGGGATGTGACCTTGTGTTTCATGATGCTCGACGTGCCGCTCGACCCCATGCCAGAGTGGTCTAAAAGGTCTGCCACTCTGCCTCTCTCGGGCTGCTGATCAGTGAGTTCTGTCGAACGTGCATGCGGGTAGTGTGGCAACAATAATAGCGGGGCAGCTGCTACGACAATCACCACCACCATTCCCGCTAGCACTACCACTACCACGATAACGACCACGACCATGGGACCACGATCACGACCACTGCCACTGCCACTACCACTGCCACTGCCACAGCCACTACCACTACCTCTACCACTACCACTAGCTCTAGCGCTAGCACTACCACTACCACCACCGCCACCACTACGGCGACCACGACTACGACTACCACTATGACGACGACGACTACCACTACCACTACTACTGTTACCGCCGCTGCTCCTGCTGTTGCTGCTGCTGCTGCCGTTGCACTGCTGCTGCACTGCTGCTGCTACTGCTGCCACTGCCACTGCCATTGCCACTGCTACTGCTACTGCTCCTACTCCTACTATCACTACTCGTACTACTGTCGTTACTGCTGCCATTGCTGCTACTGATGCTGCTTCTGCTACCGCAGCTACAGGCCTCCCCGGCCGGTCGGAGCGCACTTCGTGGACCGCAGCTGCACCAAATGCAGGAGCCTAGGCCGTCCGGGATGTAACGGCTACAATTTCCATGGTGTTCTTCAAAGATGATGGTTAATGCAATGATGGTGAGTACTCTTAACACAGACTCGTGACCCGTGTCACAACTAGTAGTTGATACCTGGCAGTTTGTCCGGGACTGAATCTGTGTGGCTACCTTGCGAATTCGATCAACATCGAGAACAGAACCTACGGCTGGGGGCTTTCCAGAAAACGAAATTCCACGCCGGATGCACCTGAGAATAAAGCAGCCTTATCATAGAGTTGCAGGTTATCTTCCATTTCTGCTTGCGCAAGCTTTCTCAGTGAAGTCGCTTCGTGTTTTTCAGCTGCGAAGTTGCTGTCACAGGGCCGCCGCCATGTGCGGCTCTCTGCCACTCGCCGTGCTCTCAGCCCAACCGGGAGTTTTCACCCGCCATTTCGACAACAGACACCAGACGCAGCTCTCAGCACCGAATGTCCGGCTCATGTCAAGTGTTCCCTGTCTGCCTGTGCCGAAGTAGGTCGGCCTCGCTGCAGCGGTGGGCTGCGTCGTGGTTGTCGGGAACTCAGAGCACTGTGAGCAAAATGCTTTACTTACTCCTCTTGGGCGTTTACGATTTCACGTACGGCTGGGGTTTGGGCGATGCGTTCTTTCTTCATGAGTGCATTCTCCACCCTGCTGCACTTCCCAAGGCACGCAGCACTGTTCAGCGGCGGTACACCGGCAGCTACAACATGGACGGGCGCTTGAGCAATAGCTGCGCTACCCCCAAGCTTTGTGTTTGCACAGCCTTGCACTAGTCACTAGTCTTGTGGAAGGACCCGCGCATGGCACGCGGAGAGCCCACCAAGATGACGGAGGAGCAGAAGGACCGAAGTACGTGGGATCAAAGTCTGGCGGTGTAGCAGCCTGAAAGCGCTGGACCTCGACGGTGCTGCAAGACAGGCCGAGTGGCTGACGACGAAGACTGCTGAGCTTGAAGAACTCATGCCCATGACGGACATCGAGTTCGAGGACATGGTGTCTTTTCTGCACTTGTTACTGGAAAGGCTGGCACATCTGGTCTCTGTGTGGGCCCCACTTCATGTGTTTGCTTCTTGGGTTGTGTCAGATCCAACTCGGACTTGAATGCACCCGTGCAGCTTGGGCTTGGACACCTCACAGCATGCCCTCACGCCTTCAGAACCGAGTTCAACCGTTCGCATTCATACACCGATTGTGAGGTTTCAGAGCAGACGTGGCAGTGGCTGAGCTCAGCTTTCCAGCATTGCCAGTTTGCAAGGAAGCAACTGCCGGACAAACTTCTGCGTGGGGATCGGAAAATCTTGTGGTCATGTCTGCCCCCAACATGTTTTGTGGTAATTCGAGATGACATGCTTGCATTGTAGTCTATGCCCGGTTGCAAATTGTTTAAGGAGCTTATGGCATTTTTAGCAAAGTTGTGAGCCCTGGGTTGCAGACGCTTCTTCAGTCAGCTTCCATATCCGTAAAGACATCACTACTGAGGTGGGCCCGTCACTTGCTGCCCTTCCAGAACAGACGGCGACACGAAATAGCCGAGTTCAAACGAAGATGCATTCTCAAGCAGTGCTGCCAGCCAGCTTTTCGTCTGTGGGCTCCAGAGTCGGCTGACTGGTCATCCGATGATCCCCTTTTGCCTGACCCAGAATGGCAGGCCTGAGCTCTTCAAGAAGCTGCGTTTGTGGCATCCACTGGCCCTGAAATACCCGACTGTCATCCGGAGGTGCCTGCTCGTGGAAGTCCAAACACGGCTTGACTATTTACTAGGAATTGGAGAAGAGAGCTCCAAGGTTTGACCTCCACCCATGCTTTGCAATCTCGTATAAGTTGACGTCTGAACGTGCAAACGGCCGAAGGTTTGATAACCTCGGGCCATCGGACATCGAGAACCGCGATTTGATGATCGATGTGGAGTGCACCCCTCAGATGCCAGTGATGTGTGTCCAGAGTGCGCAGCGGCAGGGTCACCTCCTCTGTAATGTGGCGTTTGCGAGGATGCTTGCCAACACAGAGAAGTGTGCCGGCTTCACGTACCGGGACAGTGCCCAAGCAGCTCTGGCCTACTGCTCCGCTTCCTTGGCCAATCGATCAAGCTCTGCTTGCCATGGTCGCAGCTATGGCTTCAGCATATGCAATAGATTCAATAGAACGAGAGCAAGGAGCTTAGTCAGTTCTTTTTCATCAATACCCAACTTGTTCCAGCAAGCATTGGCAGCTGTACTTCTTATAGCTAGGAGTCACCCATGCGGCTGCATGTAAGAGACTTGCAGAGGTGGATCTTCACGCTTTGGCCAACAGCCCCCTTCAGCTGAAGACTCAACCCGAAAAAAGCTCGTTTCGAGATAGAAAAGCCTCGAAACACAGTGTACTGGATCTCTGCGCACGCCCATCTCTGGCTCATGGAACTTCGCTCGCCGCGGCATGGTGCAGCTAGGACAGGGAAAGAGAAGCATTCACTTCGGATTTTTTTTGGAGGCAGGCCCGAGCTACTTCACGGAGGGGAAGCAGGTGATCACAATCTGATGCAGGGTCAGCGCTAGGCAGTAGATTTGAGTCGGCCGCGTCTACGTACTGCCGGACTCAGGTCAAGAGGTTTTAGGCCGCAGGTTCGCGCCAGGCAACATGCAGCATCACCAAAATGACTTCTGGAACACTGGGGTCAACTTGTGTTGACTTGCGACAAGTAGCAAACATGCCTGTAAAGTCTCCTCTCTCCGCACGTTCTGTGTCACGAGATGTCACGAGGTTTGGAGCTGGGCAGGGTGCCTTTGCGGGAGCGGTTTCCGCTGCGACCTCAGATTGGGTGGGGTCCGGGAGAGAGTTTCGACTATGTCAGCATGTTCTGTTTAGTTCAGCTTCAATGTTCACCACGGGACCGAGGTTGGTGATCTAAGACAGGCTGCAGGCGAGAGCACTAATGCAGAACGACCTGACAATCATGCATGACACTGCAACTGTCTCGCTGATTGCCGCCCAAAGCTCACTCACAACCTTGTGACAAGAGCAGGGCATGCAGCATTGGCCTTGCGATGTAATGCATTGCGTGCTTGCAGTTGCGCATACGGAATGATTCCACAGCGTAGTGCTTTAGTTGCACCAGGTTTGCGAGAGCAACACCCGCTCCGTCTCGGCCTTTCCTGTGCCCAAAACGCAGCGAGGTTCGTGTAACTCGGGGGTTCTCCAAACACCTCAGGCAAGACGACGGGACACCAGGAGTCGAGAATGTGCCAAGTTCTCTGGGAGCCAAGTGTCGAAAATCCAGCGACGCCCCATGCAAACGCGGTGGCACACCGAAACCCAGAACCACAGCAGTTTCGAGACAACTGGCGCGTGAATCTCTGCATGCATGCCCCTTCATCTCAATTGATGGACGGCGAGTTTAAAGTAACTCTGGGATGCAGATAGGCATCGCCAAACAGTTAGACTTGTCTTTCTAGTAGGTTCCCTCTTTTTGATAGAAGCAGTGAAGCCTTAATCGTCCAACGAGTTGTAGAGCGGTCTCTCGTCGAAGCAGTTCTTGCATCTAGAAGCTCGGCAGAGCTGGAGAACTGCTACGTGCTTTGCCTGAACCTCCGCTAGTGTTGGTGCTGCTAGGCTGTATCCACATGTTTGCAGATGGAAGCAAGAAACCTGGCATTTTTGCTTATGCTGAGGCCTCTCCCTTTGCAAGCGGTGCTTCGCCCTTCGCAGGCTTCCCGCTTTGCGTTAGTTTCCCTCTTTGCAGGGATGTTGTCCCTCTGACGTGTCTGGTTGCATCTTGTCGCATCAGTACGGGGTCTGTTTTGGGGCGACATGACTTATCTCGGACAGGTAATCCGTCACCATTCGCTACATCTTCTCCAGGGCCCTCAGCATGTGGTGGCGGCAGCGGTGGTGGTGCCTCCGCATCGCCTTTCGGTAGCGGTGGTGCAGTGGCCTCACCTTTCTCAGCCTCAGCTGGCCCGCCACAAGCGTCGCCCTTCGGATCTGGTACAGTGTCCCCGTTTGCTGCTGGGGGCCCAGCGCAGCCATCGGCCTCGCCATTTGGTCAGGGTGGTCCAAGCGCGTCGCCATTTGCAGGCCCTGGAAGTCATGCTGCTTCGCCCTTCAGCGGAAATCCCGGAGGTACACCTGCATCACCATCGCCTTTTGGTGGGCAGGGGAGCACTCCTTCCCCATTCAGCGGTGCAGCGAACATGGGCTCCACTCCCCCAACCGCAACACAAAGAAGCTCATCGCCCTTCGCGGCAGGCCCGAGCCAAGCTCCCAGTGCCGCTCAGATTGGTGCCGGCTCAGCAGCGCCCTTCGGGGCACAGGCCACTGCCTCGCCATTTGCAGGCACCAGCTCTGCGACTGTGGCGAGCGCATCGCCTTTTGGAAGTCAGGTTGTTGGAGCAGTCGGACCTTTCGGAGGTCAAGGAGCAAGCTCGGCGTCTCCTTTCGCTGCGCAGTCCAGCAGCTCAAGCTTGCCTTTCGCTGCCGGGGCATGCTCTGGTGCATCACCTTTTGCGCAGAGCGCCCTTGCTCCAGCTACGGCGTCTGCGGGGGCTCAAGGCACCACCTCACCCTTTGCACCTCCGGCGCAGGGCAGTGCCAGCACATCCACATCCCCCTTTGGCAGTGCGCCAACGAGTGCTGTGGCATCTCCCCATGCGCCGGCCGGTGCCTCTCCGTTTACGAAGGCCACGGTGCCAGTGCCTTCTGCAAAGGCCGGCGCAGAGTGCAAGTAGAGAGCTGGTAGCTGCTTGTAGCTGCAAGGTGCACGCCATGTTTCCTCAGAAACACAGCATCGGAGCACATGTGCGCCGTGATAGGCTGGTGCTGCATCGAAGGACGCAAAGGACGCTGGAAGTTCAATACGGCTTTTGTCGCTGCATTTGCCCAGACAGAACACTATGGCGGGAGCAGGCTCCTAGGTGTACAGGTTCTTCGTTGAGAACCGTGCACAGCTGCAGGGGAAGGGAGCGACTAGCAGTGACTAGCACCGCTAACACTTGCTGTGAAGTCTTGGCCTCTCCTGAGAATGACTTTGCGAGTTGCAGGAAGTGCTGCCGGAGCTGCTACGGAAGGTCGACTGGCAGCTCACAAGCTTTGGCTTGGACAACCAGGTGAGACCTCTGCCGAGGGTCCGAATGGAAAGTTAAATTTGATGAGAGGATGCTGCCTCATTCTCAGTACTTGCAGGCCCCCAAGCCGTCGTGCGTAGTCCAACGGAGTTGTGAGCTGCGATTCCAGTGCTGGATCTAGGCCAGTACTGGAGGCACAGTCGAATCGTTCGGAATGCGGTTCAGGATGCCCGTGTCATGCAAAACAAGTGGTCAAGGGGTACCGACGCAGCAGCTCCTGCTTCCACCCTGAGTTTTTGCATGCCCGAAGAGCAGGACTTCCTGCAGACGCATGATGCGGCATATTTACATTCATTTTGCAGGTCCGCAGCTGGTCGATCGTTGACCAATCTCAGAATCCTAAACATGGTGACATCGCAGCGAACAGAACGATAACACTCCAACACAGACATGCTGCCTGAAGAGAAGCTGTTATTTCTGCCGTAAGCTAGAAAGCTTTGCTTGCTGAATCCTGTAGGCATGTGTGGTCACCAACGACACCTCCTTCGAGGACACGCGTCGAAATTGCTAGGGTGTACCGCACAGAGGGCTCATGAGCATGAACCTCGGGAAGTCACGATGAGATCTTGGCCGCCTTGGGTGTTGCCTGTCGACTCTTAGGAGCATCGCTGGCTGATGCTACAGCAGCCGCGTGGGGATTGGGGTAGTCTGTCGAACAAGCTTCTCAGCGAGAGCAAGCAGAAGTTCAGCACGTACTTGTCTGGCTCTGCTGATGCTGCAGCACCATCCCAGCTGGCACAGGCAGGGAGGGATCAGACAAAACTGTATCTGTCGAGCAGGAGGCCCAAGTCTCAATCTGGGAATGGATAGAATGGTGGGCCAGGATGCAGCCAGCGCCTCCACCAGGGCACCTTCGCCGTTCGACGGCGCGTCGCGGAGCTCTTCGCCCTTTGGTGCTGCATCAGCCTCAGCAGGGGGGTCGGCTTCGGCAGGGGCCTCGCCTTTCGGTGCTTCAACTCCCTCGCCCTTCGGGGCAGCGGGCACCAGTGCCTCTCCCTTTGGCGGCAGCCAGGCCAGGACTGTTGGAGTTCCTGTAGAATTTGGGGCATGCTGTGGAGCGGCGCAGGCACCGGGCACGGGCCCCTTCGCTCAACGCAGCACATCGCCGGGTCCTTTCGCCACTACGAATTCGCCCTTCGCTCCTGGGCCATGCGCTTCGCCGTTTCAAAGCTCCGGGCAGGCCCAAATGCGTTGAATTCGTGATGTCCGATGTCTCTATCCTGGCGCAGTTGCCGCAGTCAGACAGCATCAGTTGGGCGCTTTGCTTGCCCAGCAAGAACTAGAACTGAACGAAAGCCACACGCAAGCCACAAGGCATCCACAAAGCACCGTTTTTGCTCTCAGCTTTCCTGCAGGGCACGCCTCCCTCGCCTTTTGCTCCGTCGCTGGGCATAAGAGCGTTGCACCGGTGACAGGGTAAGACCCAACCTCTGTAGCATTCCTTGATCTTGTAGGGTTTTCCTATGCTTCGCTCCACTATGTTTCCCCCCGCAACATCTTCGTTTAAAGTGGCGTTTGGCTGCTTTCAAGATTCTCAATCGCATTCCGCCCAAAGCTCAGCCCTGCGGCGGGGGATCCCTGCGCAATCGCTGGTAAAGAACAGCATGTGAATTCGTATGCACCTGCTGAAGGCTCTGGGTCTCTGGTTTGAAGCTTTCAGACAAGCTTCCATGCAATGGGCTTGGTGCCAGTAGGGCTTCTACAGGTCACAGAAGCAACAGAAACAACCACAGTTCGCCTTCTATTGGCAGCAACAGCAGTCGCAGATGGTGGTAGAGCTGATACGAAGATGAATAATGCAAAAGCAGCAGCGAGGCAAACAAGAATCGGGCTCCCTGAGACTCAATCTTCACGAACGGCGTGTGGAACTGCGCCAGAGTTTGTTTTGCTTGGTTTTGGTTTCGAAGTTGCTTAGGTCCTATGCAACCGCGTCTGCTTCGGTGCCATACGATGCGGTGGGCTCTTGCAGTGTCATGAGATTCCAAGGCAGCATACGTAAACCTGTTGACTGTTGGCCGACAGGCGGCTTACGATTTGCTATGCCGCGACTAGCAGACAGCAGACTAGCAGATACCGCGAGCATTCTGTCTGCGTTAAAAAGTGGCCAGGGTGTGCGGTATGGCTTGGCCCCGCTGCAGATGAGGCCGGTGACTTGGGGATGATGGGAGGCACAAAGTGGAGTAACAGCCGAAGACATGCCTCAAGAGAAGTTGGAGCAAGCAAGGGCTACTGATAGTGTCGCCGAGGCCGCATGAGGAGACCGAGCTGGCTCAGGAGGAGTTTCAATCTGCGATTCGCTTGTTCGGCAAATAGTGAGACATTGAGACCACAGCACAAAGCTTACTTTCCTGGTCGAGGTGCAGTTCTTGCAAGTATTCTCGGCCCGAGTGCACAGCACACAACCCTACTAGTAGCGCTACTATCTCATGCTTCGCATCGGCCCCTGTGCGAGGACCTGAAAGCGTTTGAGGCAGCTGCCTTCGAGTCCCAGAAGGTTCCGGAGGCACAGCGCAGCCCGCCAATCCACTCCTGTAGAAAGCCTTTCTTTTGCTTAATTCCCCAGGCTACTCGCTCACGGAAGAGTTGCTTGGGCCAGGTCGAGCCTCCGCCGTCCGTTTGCTGAGATCGGCCCTCTGCCTTGCCACCAGGGAGATGTCTCGGTGTCTCTGCCTGCCGGCCTTGCGGAGAAATAGGGGGCGCAATACTGCTCCTGTCACCCTGCGCGCTGGACGCTCCAGGGTCGGATCGGCAGCTGTTCTGTTCACCAATTTGCACCATGCTTCAAAGTGTGAGGTTCTGGGGGTGCATCAGTCTGAACCAATCTTGAACATTACGCTCAGTGTCTAGGTTCAGGTCTATCCTGCGAGTCCTGCAAACCAGCCGGAGTTCATCGTACTTTCGCAGCAAGTGAAATCATGTTGTGTTAAACGGCCAGCTTTGCAGCAGAGATGTGACCATGCTGTACATTGCGTGCGGCTCGAATCCAGGGATCCCTTTTAGCAGTACGGCAAAAGGGTGCGCTGCCTCACTGCACCCCTGCTACCGGTTGCTGTTTGATGGTAGCGGAGCCGGTGTGCCCATCGGCTTCTGCTGCTTTGCCTAAGGGCACCGTGCGCGATCCCAGACCTGACGGCTTCCGCCTTGGTGGCTGGAGCCCTACCTTTTTTCCTTCGTGCCCGCCTTTGTGCCGGTACTTGAGAGAAGCTTGCCTTTAAGACCCCAGCAACTTCGTGATGAGCCGCTCTGGGGCCAGGCTACAAGTTGATCGCTATGGTGTGCCACAATACGCTGGAGACCCGGAATGCTTTGAGGAGTATGTGGAAAGGGCGTGGGACCTCTACCACAGCCGCTCCGGGTCGGATCAGACACAGCTAGCAACAGCTGTGCACCTCCGCTCCGGTCTAACAGGTTCGGCCTATGAAGCGGTACGTTTGCTGAAGCACACCGACCTGATGACCGAAGACGCCCAAAAGAAGCCGACCGCCAAGGGAACACAACTTCTGTTCGACACTCTCAAGGAGGCGATCGCGGCCGAGCAGCCCGTGAAGATCAATGAGTTGTTCCTGAACTGCTTTTACAGCCCGGCCGTGTGGCGTCGCCCGGCTGAGAACATGCAGCAGTACATCGTGCGGCGGGAGCAGGACTTCAAGAGGCTAGAAGATGTGATAGCCGGCGGCTCCTTCCCTGAGAACATAAGGGCTATGATGTTACTCCTGTTCGGCGGCTTGGACCACCGTGAGCAGAACAATGTGCTGGCCTCGGTGGGGAACACCTACGACTTCAAGAAGATCGCCCACGCGATGCGGATGCAGTACCCCCAGGCCAGTGGCAAGCCCGTTGTGAGAAGGGACCTCCTCGGCTGCTCCAGGTCTGCGCCGTCTCTCGGGACCTACCCACGGCCACCGAAGGGCTATGGAAAGGGGCGCCGTTCTACCGTGCTGGTGGCCGAGACCACCGAGGAGGAGCAGCTCGAGGACGACGGGGCAGGCTAGCCGCGACCGGATCTTCCCGGCCTTTCCTTGGCGAGCTATCCTTCGACCAGAGGGCCAAGGAGTCGAAGCGACAGGCCGTGCAGTTCCTCAAGTCGGTCACTCCCTGCACGGCGTGTGGCCAGAAAGGACACTGGCAGGGTGATGACGCCTGTCCGAAGAAGAGAGCCGGCAAACCAGGTGCCAAGGGCAAGCGCAGGCCAGCACCGAAACGCCCGGCCGGCAAGACGACCTACTTTGTGCTGCACCCGGACCTTGAGGAGAACGACCAGGTTGCCCAGGCCCTCTACGTCAGTCCCGGGACAGCACGAGCGGCACGGACCAGGGACCGTGTCCGGTTCTCCAACTTGGCTGAGCACCAGGGCCCCGCAACGGAGCACGAGGTCTACGTGAACCTTCGGACGAACCTCTGCGAGCATGCCTCCTCGAGGGGCGGAATTACCGTCCGGCTGCCAACAGCCACGCGAGAAGTATTATGTGCAAGGAGCCCGAGTGCAACAAGGCCGTTGTGGTTTGGGGCGCAAAGGCGAGATCGAGGGCACTGTTTGCCAGAGTCGGCCAGGTGCGTGCCGAGGCCCTGTCGGAGAGAGAAGCCGCGGCACTGGAGCGGACCAGGCAGTATGACGAGGAGGCCCGCGCACAACGACCCCTGCCCCGCAAGTGACGGCGGCTATGGAGCTCTCTATGACGACGGCTCCCCGGACTCCGTCTGGCGACTGGTGGCTGCACCCCCTTCTTCGTCGGCTGGTTCTTCAGAGGCACCACCGGTGGCGAGGATAGTGCGGCCAGAGCTCCAGCCCGTCCGTGCCTGGGTGTACGGCGTTTGTCTTTGACCTGGTGTTGAGCTGCCCAGGCTTCCCGAGCTCGCTGCCGAGGACCAGGATATACTTATGCCTCTCCCGACTGAGGCCTCCCTGTGCGGCTCGGAGAGCCCCTTTTGCGGGATGACCTTTGAGTATGTGAGGTCGAGGTCGGAGACCGCCTGGTACTGTTCTCAGATAATGTCCTTCGCCCTCGGCAACAACCCTATGCTACCGGCTCGCCTACTTCCTCTACTGCAAGCTCAAGGTGCTGCGCGACACCATGGTTCATATGCACGGCGCGGCAGACCCACGAGAAGGCCAAAAGCGAGGCCTCTTGCCGGGTGACATGGTGACTAAGCGGACCGGAAGAGTCCCCGTGTGCATGGACCCTACGCGCCCTGATGCCGTGACTGTGCAAGACTGTGAGGTGATGGTGCAGGACGTCGTCAGCGAGTCCTCCGAGCCCGAAGGAGAGACGAGCCCTACCGCATGGGTCCCAGAATCCTTTGCAACTGCTCCCGAAAATCCACCTCGGCTCGCAAATCTGGACTCCGGCTGCACCCGGACCATGCACGGCAGCGTGTGGGCCCAGACCTTCGAGGAGCGCCTTCGTGAACTTGGGCTCGCGGTGCACACGGTTGAGAAAACACAGCGCTTCCGAGGCGTTGGTGGCATGTCCCAGAGCACCGTGACCAAGATCTTTCCTACAGGGATGCAGGGCGTGCGCGGTGACCTCTACAGTGCGGAAGTGGAGGGTAATCTCCCTCTTCTCTTGTCGAGGCCCTTCATGCATGAGCTGGGCGCTGTGCTAGACCTTGGTGCCAACACTGTCTCCTTCAACGGCCTCGGCATGACTAACTTGCCTTTGGTGAAAACAGCCAAGGGGCACATCGCGGTGAACCTTCTTGACTTCGACCAGGACAAGCTTGACGAGTTCGGCGACGGCCCCCCCGACTTCGGCCACGTCCATGCCATCTTTCACAAAACCAGTGGAGTGCAAATCTACACCCAGCCGCATCAGACCACGCCTCTTCAGATCAACTGGAGGTTTTCTATTTCTGTGCAGGCGGATGCATTTCCAGCAAAGGCTGCTGCTAAGCACAAGGCCACTCCTCCATAGTCATAATTGTGTCGGTACCAGAGCTTCGCAGGACTTTGCGTCACGATGTCAGCCCGAGTCAGCCCTTAGTGTGCGGACATGGAGCAGGATCTCTACTGAGCGGCTGCTGTTTCGTTGCCTTTCAGCCCAGGTACTGGCCCCCTTTCAGAGTCTTCAATTCGTGCCTGGCTGGGTTTTGCCGGAGCCTTGTCGGGGCTGTGTGCATCATGCGCTGACTGCTTGCAGTTCAGACTCCGATGTGGAGCAGTTTCCAGCATCCGCCGAGACGGAGAGGGGCGAACTCAACGACTGGATGCGCGAGACCCGGGCCGAGGCCGAGGAGCACGAAGCAGGCCAATGGAAACCAGAGGGTGACGTGTCCGAGGAATTTGGCTACTTTTCCTCGACCGTGAACGGGGACAGGCAAGTGCTACGCCGAGCTTCCTCCAAGAAGGGCAAGAAGCTCATGAGTATGTCTGCCAGCGTGGATGCACGCGACACCCTGAACAAGCACGTCTTGAGTGGAAGGAGCCAGCCCAACCACAAGCCACCATACAGCAAGGTGTGGATGAAGCAGGTCTTTGCAGTACACAGCGGGCTCTCTGTGCTTTGTGTGTGGCCCTTGGGCTGGGCATTGGAGTCCCTTTGGACTACACGGCCTCCGGCTGGAAGGCAACGACCTCTGAAGGAAGACGGCAGCTTCACCGGGACCTTCGCACCGAGGACCCTTACCTCCTGGTGATCACTCCGCCGTGCCTCACCGACAACTCTTGGGACATTTGGCACTTGACTGGAGCCCGACCTGCTGCACTCACCCCCGCCAAGCTCAACGAGGTGCAGGCCAAGGTCCTTGAGTTGGTCAACAAGCTGGTCAAGGAACGTGTTGAGGCACGGCGCCACGTGCTACTGGAGCTGCCGAACAACAACTGGAGAGAAGACCCTGCTATGAATGATGTTGTGGCCATGTTGTCCGCCGGTGAGCTTGAGCTGCTGCCTCGCACAAGGACCTCCCTGCTAACGTCTAAGTCTATGGTGACTGCAGCGAGCGTGTTTGGCAACGGGACCGCCGACCCCGACTTTGACAAGGTGACCTGCGACACTATGGTTCAGCAGGCCACTGTGGAGCAGCACGTTTTCGAAGGTGTCTCCGACGCCTTCCCTGCAGAAGTACCTCCAGAAACCACACAAGGAGGGCAGAAGCGGCGCAGACGGACCGGGAGGCAGGCCATCTTGACACCACAGAAGGAGGCACCTCCTGTTTACCTTCGGGCTGCGGCTGCGAGCAGAGGGCGACGACCGGGCACTTGGTGAGCTTGTTGGTCTGGACCCGGCAGAGCCCGACGATGCCGGAGATAGGACGAGACAGGCCGAGCAACTGGAGCCAGAGCTTTCCCTCACAGAGGCAGAACGGCGCCGCAGTTGGTTGGATGTGGAACCTCGCCTCCGCAAGGTGCTTCGCGACCTTCACGTTCAGTTCGGCCACCCGACCAATGTGACCCTACAACGGATACTTCGCAGACAAGGGGCCAAGCTCGAGGCCATCAAGGGTGCCGAGTATTTGGCTTGTGACGCTTGTGGTGAGTCGATAAGGAGGAGAAGGCCAAAGCCCGTCCGACTACCGGGGAAATACGAGTTTAACTACCACCTCTCCCTTGACGTCTTCTACGCAAAGGACGCGGCCACGACGCTCTTCGCCTTTCTGAACATAGTCTGCGAGGCCACGGGCTTTCAGGTGGTTTCGTGCTTGGGACAATCACAGGGCCCTCCTTCAACCAAGGCTGTTCTGAGGCACTTCCTTGCCTCATGGAGCTCCTGGGCGGGCCTGCCTTCCTCAGTTCAAGTGGACCGTGGAAAAAAGTACCTTGCTGCCTTTGCCGACTACCTCAAGCAGTACGGCGTGGAGCAGGAGACGATGCTCTTGGAAGCTCCCTGGAAGCAAGGCCGTGTGGAGAAGGCCGGCGGCCTTTGGAAGGAAGTCTTCAAGAAGGCGGTTCACGAGATGCAGCTTGTGGGGCTCGATGATGTGATCCTGGCCACTACCATAGTGACTCAGTGTCGCAACTCCTTCCCGCGATCGTCTGGGTATGCCCCGAACCAGTGGGGCTTGGCCGGCCCGAGATAAGGCTCGCTGGGTCGTTGCTGCAAGACGGCGAGCAGGAGAGACTTGAAGTTCTCGAGGGGGCCGAGAGCCCGGACAGTGCGATGGCTAAGTCCCGTGGCATTCGCGAGGCGGCACGCGTCGCACAGGTGAGGATGGACACCGATGGCCGAGTGAGGCGCTCTTCTTCACCAGTCGACCCCGACGCGTGGCCCCTTTCCTGTCGGCTCCTACGTGTACTTTTGCCGTGCTCAAGCTCCTCCTGGCGCTTCTCGACTTTACCGTTGGCACGGCCCGGCACGTGTTGTTGGGGTCGAGCTGAGGAACCACGCCCAGCCGAGGACCCAGAACTGCCAACGGATGGTGGACAGCCGCATTCCTATTGGTTGCGCTATGGTGCTGCTGTTGTCTCGGTGACGGGCGAGCAGCTTCGCTTTGCCTCAGAGGACGAGCTTCTGGCGGCACACACGATACCTCAGGAGGCCCTGGAACCCCCTTATGCAAGAGGAGCCCGCAACTATGTGGACCTGCGCCTTGCTGCCTCATGTTCCCGAAGTACTAGACGATGCTCGACGAGCTAGGCGCAACAGTTCCTCGAGATTCCCAGCAAGACTAAAGGACGGGTGGGCCATGGACTTAGATCATGGTGGCCTGCCGGACCAGACCGGCGCAGGCGCAACAGTTCATCGAGATTCCGAGCAAGACCAAAGGACGGGTGGGGCCTCACCTTTTTCTAGCACAGCTGTCATCAGAAGGCCGTCTGTCCATGAACCTGAACCACAGCCCATAGCCACGACTCCTTCGATTATTCCGGCTGCACCAGTCCCAGTGATACCCTCAGCTCCTGTCTTTGGCGAGCCTCAGATTCCTATTCTTGCGCCTTCACCGAGCGGGGCACCTATGACCATGGGCTATGCACCAGTTCGACCCGAAAGGAGCCAAGCTGAGAGACCCTACTTTTCAGAGGGTGTGCCTTTCGAGTGGTATTGCCCGACCTTGCCCGAGCATGTGCGTGAATATAACCTCAAGAAGTTTGCCGAGGCCCTTGGCGAGAGCCAGGACGAGAGCGAGAACAGCGAAGGTGAGCAACTGGAAGCTCCAGCCGACGCCTTCTTGACAGGGAAGGCCGTTCGCTCTGAGATCAAGCTCAAGGACCTCAACCAAGAAGACCGGGCCAAGTTCGACGAGGCAATGGCCAAGGAATGGTCATCGTGGCAGAAGTTCGGTGCTGTGGAGACCTTGACGCCGCAGCAAATCGCCGAGCTACCCCCGAGCACGAAGATTGTGGGCACAAGGTGGGTTCACACGGACAAGAACCAGAAGCCCCGCTTGCTCGCTGGGCACATCGCCAAGAAGACGGGCAAGTCCAAGAGCCAGCTTGAGAAGGAGTACCCCTTCATGCCGAAGAGCCGGCTCGTTGTTCAAGGATGCCGGGAGGAAGACCCTGGTTCCATCAGGTCTGATTCTCCTACGGCTTCCCTGCTCGCCTTCAACCTCCTCTGCGCCATCACTGTCATGCAAAAGTGGGTTATTGCCGCCAGTGATGCCTCTACGGCCTATTTGCAGTCGCAGGGCATCAACAGGTTGATGATTTTACGACCACCCCGACCACCACCACCTGGCGTTTCTCCCTCTGACCTTTTTCGTGCCAAAGGTTCCATATATGGTACAAAGGACGCTGGAAGGTCATGGTGGAAGAAGCTATGGGTGGATGATGTCGAGGATCGAGGCGGCCCTCTTCTTTTTGTTTGACGCTGGCAGCCTTGTCGGCATCTGCCTGAGCCACGTCGACGACCTGCTTAGCGCAGGCGAGGGCGAAAAGTACGAGGAGTCCTTGTCCAAGTTGGAGACCGAGCTGCACCTCAAGGTGCAACGTGGCAAGTTTCGGTTCTGTGGCAAGAACTTGGTGCAAAAGGGGCAGGACATCGAAGTGGACCAGTTCGATGCCATTGAGGGCGTCGACTACATGCTGCTGGAAAGGGGGCGGCGGAAGCAGCCCAACTCTCCCCTGACCGAGGAAGAGAAGTCGCAGTTTCGCGGCCTTATCGGCCAGATGGGTTGGATCGTGCGCCAATCCAGGCCCCGACCTCATGGTGAACGTGAGCATCGCCTCTCAGACCCTCGGGCACCCCTGCGTCAAGGACGTTGTTGACTTGAACAAGGCAGTGAAGATGATGAAGAACACGGCTGATGCAAAATGGTGTTTCCGCTCTTTCTTTGAAGGAGTGCCGAGTGGCATGCTTTGCGGACAGCTCCTGGGCTAACCTGGATGGGCTGAAGTCTCAATGCGGATATGTGGTGTGCCTGATCTTGGGCACAATCCTTGACGGCGCCTCGACCCCCATCCTCATCTTGGAGACTTACAGCGGCACCATCAAACGAGTTTGCAGGAGCACCCTGGCTGCCGAGGCGAACGGATTCCTTACCGGGGTGGAGAGCGCAGAGTATGTGAGAGAGCTCCTGTTGGAGATCTGGGGTGAAGCTCATCGACATCGACCGCCACTACCTTAAGAAGCGGGTCCTGGCTTTTACCGATGCCAAGTCCCTGGAGGCCACGCTCAACCGCGACACGGGGCAGCCTCAAGACAAGAGGGTCAGGATCTTGGTGGCCCAGATCAAGGAGATTCTTGGAGAGAACCTCTATGATGACGAGGATGCCAGCGGTTACGCCATCTGGGTTGACACCTCCCAGATGCTTGCGGATGTCCTGACGAAGATCGGATGTGAGCGCGAGCCGTTGCTCGAAGCAATGCGCACGGACAGTGGCGACTTGAGCCCTATGAAGAGGCTCGACTACGAAAGCTGACCATACGAGCAGGACGCCAAGCTCGAAAGGCCAAGCTTAAGGGCAACGATGACGCTTCGGGTGTATAGACTGTACAGCGTTCCGAGAGAGCGCCGATTGCCCGAGACCCTGGCACGAGCCGAGGACGGGTGTTAAACGGCCAACTTTGCAGCAGAGATGTGACCATGCTGTACATTGCGTGCGGCTCGAATCCAGGGATCCCTTTTAGCAGTACGGCAAAAGGGTGCGCTGCCTCACTGCACCCGTGCTACCGGTTGCTGTTTGATGTTGTATCCCCTATGAAACAGAGGAGTTCTCGGACCTGCCCACCTACGTTTCACAAGTACGTGCGAATGGCATCATCATGGATCTGAGAACACCGTTGCTAAAAGGTACACCAAAGTACATCGCTAGCAAATGTGCAACAAAGAGATCCAGTCTGAACAGCTGCAGTGTGGCTGGCAAAGAGGCATGTGAACGTTCGTACGGTCGTTGATGTTCGGCTAAGAGTTCCTCTTCCGAAGTGTTGTTGATTGAGCCTTGAACTATTCCTGGACTGTCTCGCAGCCGCCGCGGTTTTTCTTGAATCTTATTTGTCGACATCGGCGTGCAAACTGCAGGACTTCCTGGAGGAGACCTCGGGTAACAAGTTCGACAAGGAAGGGTGGGCCCGTGCCTTGGGCAGTCTACACCCAGCCCTCCCGCGAAAGTGCATATCTTGTGGCTGACGAGGTCGCTCCTGAGATTGGAGACACCGTCTCCGGTACGATCATGTACGTTGGCGAGGTGCGAAGAGTGTGGGCACGTTTGCCGCCGTCCCCTTTCGCGTTCCACCTGGGCATCGCAGGATGGTGCTTTTGTTGAGCTCGACTGCGGCGGTGTGAAGAGTTGGGCGCAGCTACCCACAAAGTGCCACAGGGTTCGGCAAGACTGGACCAGGGTCATGCAGTCCTTGACAGGCTTGCTTCGCTAAAGCCCATTTCCAGCGTGGAGGAGGCGAGGCGCTGGGAAACTCGTGTGTGGCAGGTCTTGCAACTGACGGCCTCAGGTCAACTTGGAAGTTGGTGCAAAGATTGAGACGGTTGTCGTGCAAAAAGGCAGACTGCTGGTGTGCTGTCAACTAGGACTTTCCGAACTGCTCCACTTTTTGTGTAGAGATTTCACATGCTGGAAGATTTGACATCCGTGGTGCTCGGCGACCCCACCGCGGTCCAGTACATCGTGTTCCTTGACTGGGAAAGTGCAAGAACCCGGCGATTGTCCGGAAAGCAGGACCCCCAACGTTCCAGCGCGCTGCTTTTTCTTGCGAGAGGTCTCTCTCCAGCCTTGAGCTTGATGCGGCCTGGAATAAGGCACCGGATCGTTCAGACGCATTGTAAAACATTGAGAACATGCCGGATTGCTCAAGAGAAGGTGCAGATGACCATGGACGGAGAAGAAGGCATGTACACTTGTTGCGAGTCAATATCACAGAACTTGAATTTCAAGACTTCTTTCGCAGGTTACGATCCTCTGTGGCAAGTTCAAGTGCTGCAGATGGCGTGGTGGCCCTAATGATGGCCCGGCACGGTAACTTTGATATTCCCAGGGCTTCTATCTGTTCCCGTGGGATATCATTACAAGGTGTGTCTACGCCGCTAGTCGTGAGTCCTTGCACCATTAGGCGCTGTCTACAGCATGGGCATGAGTTCTGCAATGTTGCATTTGCCTTTGATGATTTGATGAGCTTCGGCCACATATCTTGAGAGCCGTGGACATCCAAACTCATTTCGTCTCTACCCTCGGTTATCGTAAGTTTGGTAGTGACGGTAACCCGGATATCCCACAGTTTTTCGGTGTTTGTATCAGTTTGATCGCAGGAAGGGCAGAGGACGTTGTCTGTGGTTGATCAGGACATTGTGCCTGACCATTGCCTGATCAAACGCCTTGATGTTGTTTACCCGCGTTCCCAAAGCTGCATACCGCATACCCGCCATGGTTACGCGATGTGCCGGCGTGCAGGTGGGAAGGTGTGCGCGTTCACGGCGATGTTTTAGGCAGTATGGCAACCTCCCTTTCGGATGGGAGATGGCTTTGGGAAACCAAACTCGCGGTTTACAGGTTTTCCTGGTTTTTTGATGGTTGAGCTGTTGCTTGTTTCGGGTTGCATGCTAGCTTCCTTCATGCAAAGCTTCCCCTTGGAAAGATTTTATGACTTCATGGTGTATATGTTCTTAAGCTATGTTGCATTGCTGCAGCGCAGAAGCCAGCACCGGTGCCAGGGATCTGAAATCTCTTGGGTTTGGATCGCAATCGGGACACCATGATTCGCCGATCCTTGCGCGGCACCCCCATGGCTCAGCCGGGGTCCGGCCCCACGGTCATTCCGATTGCGCACTGCAACCCCTTCATTGGGCGATCCGGATTGATCACATTTCTTAAATATGCCCCCACCTTTGGCGATCCCGGATCATCACAGTTCTGATTTCATAAGCCTGCTTAAATGTTCCCATCACGGTTGATCACATATCTTAAACCCGCCCCCTATTAGGCCATTCCGATTCTTCACGCTAGCTGAACCTTTGGCGAATCCGGTTGCAATCCCGCCCTCCGTCGTTTAGCGATCCCGGTTGATTATCGCGCCCCACCCAAATTTTCATGCCGGTTATCATGCATCTTACACCCCTTTTCATTCATCGATCCCGGTTGATCGCATTCCTCAAACTCGCACGCTCACTTGGCGATCGCAGTTGATTACATGTCTTAAGCCCCCTGTTGATCGAATTTCTCAAACGCTCCTTTCAGTTGGCGATCGTGGTCGATCACATATCCGAAACTGTTTCGGTGATTCCGATTCATCACATATCTTAAAGGCGCCCCCTCAGGGGATCGCGGTTGATCACAGTTGATAAACCTGTCCCCTTATGAGGAGATTCCGTTTCTTCACATCTGCTAAACCTGCTCCCTCCTTCGGTGAGCCCGCTTGATGACACATCTTACTCCCACCCCTTCATGCAGCGATCCCGGTTGATCACATTTTTTGAGCCCGCCCCCTCATTCGGCCGATTCCGGATGATCACACATCTTAAACACTTCCGTCCGTGCCCCCTCATGAAGAGATCAATTGAGCACATTTCTGAAAAGCGACCCCTTTTAGCGATCCTGGGTTCATCACATTTCTTACATCCGCCGCTTCATTTGGCGGTTCCGATTCGGCACATTTGTAAACCCGCCCTCCTTTGGCACCCGGTTGATCATTTCTGAAATCCCCTCACTCCTTTAAAACTGCCCCTCATTGGGCGATCCCTGTTCATCACATTTCTTTAGCGCGCACCCTCATATGAGACAGTGTCGCAACAAAGCTGCTGTATGGTGCTTTTCTATGAGGCTGAGTGACTCGTTAGTGTCCTTGGGACGTAGATCGCCACAAATGAGAATGTCTATGATTCTCGTACCAAATTGGGATTTCTCCCAACCCGTGCGGCTGGGTGTATAGTGGGTCGAAAGGCAATGTTGCATGTTTGCGTGTTTTGCGATGCAGAGTCGTTTTGGCCCAGGAGCTGGGGTGCCCAGGTGATGACCGAGGACTGCCACGCTGCCGGGGCCATTCTGACGTTGACGATCCCTGTGTCCGCTTGTGCTTCAAAGGGTTTTCAGATTTCCCCCGGTTGAAGAAGTCTGGTGGACTGAAGTCTGCATGGCATTTAGGAAAGAGAACCAGTAGTGCGAGCTCAACGCTACTACAGTTGATCATGGCAGCGTGTCTTGTAGGAGGGCCTGATTGGAATGATTCCTGCTCGTGATCTCGGTGAAAAGGCCATCGCGTGGGGTGGGGAGCGGGGCGACATCCGTCTTTCCAGCGCTCTGGAGGCCGGTGACCAAGGCATGGTGGGTGCCATCCTTACCGTGCAGATCAAGGAAGTGAAGTGCGACCCTCAGTGCTGAAGTTTTCAGCAGAACACGCGCCACTTGCAGTTCATGCGCATGCCACGACAGGCCGGAAAATCGCGAGAACACCAACCCACAGGCACAAAGAGAGGTGTTGTCGACGTCCTACTTGAGGGCCCACGATGAGTGCCATGAATTACTGCGTAGTGCGGAAGCCAGATGCCCTGCAGATGTTTTTTGTTTTCCGGGGATGCTTCAACCCCGCACAAGCCTACTTTTCGAACGTTACACGTGCAGTCGATTTCAACCCATCTCGTAGAGTTGGTCTCCGCCTGTCGTGTCTTTCACTTTTCGTATAATATCTGCAGCATCAGTCTGGCGCAGATATTCTACTTACTTCCGGATGCTTCGCCTCCACCTTGTCCGGGGTTTCCAACTGGTAGTTGCTTCAGATGGTCAACGACTATCCCATCGTTTTTTCGTATGCGGACGTCATGAAGAAGGCGGGGGCCTGCTGGTGACCAAGCCGGCAGAGGGTCGAGAGAAGTCTCGTGACTCGTGACTGCATAGATCAAGAAAGGACGCTTAGCAGTTTGGAGCTTCCTTGGAAAATAGGTCCGTGGACCTCCAATAAATTCCCCTGGCGTTACATGCAGCGGTGAGTGGAGCATATGGTCACACTGGTCACACGAGGAGATGCGTCAATGCAAGGGCAAACGAGGCAGCACTTAACACCGCCAGAAAAGCAACGCGCTGGCACGGAAAAGGACGCTGCAAAGCACTGGTAGTTGTCTGCTGGCAGCTCTAATCTGGGCCAGCGTCTGTGCAACATGTGCAACTGTGCTGGAATGTTCAGTCAGCAATGGTTCAGGACACTGCAGGCTTGGCATGCAAGCGGAGGATATGTGTACACACAGAGGGCGGTGTAGGATGCTAATATGTTTCGATGAATTCATGTAGGGTCACGTGCACGTGATCCGGTCGTGCTTCTGCCGATGCCAGCAAGTCAAACATCGACAGCGATGCATCTAGGGAATCACTTCTGGATATGCACCTGCAACACTCATCCCCGCTTAGGTCCACGACGTGACGGTAGTGCTTCAAAGTACATTCTTGAGTTTGAGTGGCTCTGACTTTCCTTCTAGGTTCTGGCCGAGAAGATAAACGAGGGCGATGCCGCTTGGGGCGCAAGTGTGTCGCTACTGGCACGTCCTGCCGTGGTTGTAGATCGTGTTGATCTGCAGGTTTTGGGAGTTCAATAGGGCCGCCCGAGATCGGGAAACAAGGTCGTCGAGGCAAAGATCACAAACTTCTTGCCTGTGCGGCGCTTACAGCGGTTCGTTCTGCATGACTTCCTCAGTGGGATATTTGTCGGTTTTGTATGGTTCGGTTGAGCCGCCAAGTGGGTTCCCAGTGTTCGGTATGCTTGCAATTCTTCCAATCTGTGTACAATGCACGCGTCTCACAAGATTTCCGACTACTTGTTCGAGAAGGCATGCAAATGCAGTGCCCGAGTCCTCCATGGATATCGAGATCGAGGGCATCCCCTTCCCAGTTTCCAAGGCGACCCTTGATTGACGATTCGTCATATGCTGTCGCTTGTCTTCTGCTTCTGCTGGATGAGTCTGGTCTACGTGTGGTGCAGCCGGTTTGCATTTGGTAGGCTTGGTTGATTGACGGACGGATCAACGCCGGAAGCGTCATGCGTCTCGTGCTATCACTGTTGCAGGTTGACATCTCCCGCAACACCCGCTTCGATCCGCAAGAACTCTTCGTGATCGACGAGATAATTAAGGACAGGTGCTCAGACTGGTAACGGGCAGTTCATGTGCGGCATAGTGGACTGAGTCGAAGTGTAGAGCTTTCAGCGCTTCAGGAGTTTTGAGCAGAGCTTTTGGGGCTTTCATCTCGATGGGGCTAGTCCCATACTTGCTGAAGCCAAGGTGTACTGCATGTCATCTGACCCGGAGTCCGGCCAGTTCAGGCATGTCGCCCGTTAAGAAAGGGTCTACCTCTTCTTTCCTGTTCCCTCATTGGATGAAAGAGGCTTCAGGGTTCATTTTCGGGCTCAGGTCGGGAGGCAGGTCAGGTCGAAGGGCTTTAAGACACTTTTTCTTACGTGTGGGGTCTAGACCGGCCTGCGAGCTTCGGTTTGCAGGAAGGGGCGGCGCGCCAGGGTCAAACCAAGGCTGTTAAGGACACAGAACAGGGAACGGCTGGGTCTGGCCTCGAAAAACCGCTGCGCATGTTTGTGCCAGAATTTCATGCAGTACACAAAAACCCCTCGGTCGGTAGCACAGCCAATGCACTTGTCAGTCGACGCCGCTCTTGTCTGATTCGGCTCAAGTGGAGAAGGCTTCCGCGTAGCTTGAGCTGGGCAACCGCTTGTTTCAGAAAGCGGGCAAACATTCTCCGCAGGCACCATGGCTCCTTCATCCGGGGGCACCGGCTTTCACCGTTTCCTTTCACGACAGCTTCGAAAGATGCAAATTGCTTTGCAGGATGACCATGCAGACTGAGGCTGCAGGAGCACCGCTGGCTTCGACCTGGAGTGGGTTTTCAGAGAAGGCGCACGGTACTGGCTACGGTGGGGGAGTGGTGCGAGCTAGAGCGGCTTGCTGCTATGATGATTCAGCGGAGGAATCGAAAAACTGGTCTGCCGTGCATGCAGGCCGGCCCGACGTGGCGACCGAGGCACCATCTTGGTGTGGAGCCGAATTGCCGGCGACTGCTGCTGGCCCTGCGGAGGAAGCACCCAGACCCAAACTGCGAAAGACACCTCTTCTCGTGTTTCGGCATGCAGGTTGGACTGGTCCGATTCTATCGGTGACGACGGCCCTGACATAGAGCCTTGTCATTGTGGGATGTCACACAAAGGCTACACACCGGCACAGCTATTCGAGCCGCCTCTGCTGGCCACCGAAAGCGCACCTGCGACGACGACTGGATGCCAACCACAGGTGTCTGTGATGAACGTCGAACACGCGTAAGTGGTGCCCTTCGCAGCACCAAGCACGACGAGAAGACCAAGTCGAATGAACCGCTCGGTCTGGGTCCTATTTTGGGTTCTCAGGTCCGAAAGCAGGACAACACGGATAGGCAAGGACTGGCGTCAGCAAGTGATGCAAATACCGAAGGTGATTTCTCTATGACCCCCCTAGGGGTGGTAGGTCCTCGTTGTGGTTTCCTTGCATCCACCGATCGCCCGTTCCCTGCCCCTCTCGTAGTAGGGGATGCAGGCAGGCGGGCTGCCGCCAACAACTCACCACGACGCCAAGACCTCCCTGACCCTTAGCGGTTTATTTAGGGCCTCCACCCTCCGTCGGATCACCGAGATGGAGGAGGCTATCGCTCAGAGCGGCGATGGACTATGGTCAACCAGGAGGAATCCCAGCCGTTCGAGCTTCGCAGTCAGGACTGGGGTTGTCCGGTCATGTCTCATGATGCCAGTGGTGGGACGACGACTTGACGAACTTGCCGATGGCAAAGGACTAGAAGCTGTCATCTTCTGTTGAAGGTGTCCACCATCCTTAAAGGGGCTGGCAAGGCATACCGAGTGACATTCATCGAATTGTCCCCTGAAGGTGACCAGCGTGTGCCTGGAAAGGTGGGACACATGCTTCGGTTCAGGCAGGTCAAAGTGTCCCACATGGTTTCGTCGGCCACTGCTGCTTATCCTTATCCGAAGTTCGCCGGCCACAAGGCGGCACCCATCAAGGTGTCTCCCACCACTGAGACCGCCGTGTTGTACTTGCGGATCCAGAAGCCTATCAGAGCGCCGAGAAGTGGAAGCAGGCAAAGGCGAATCTGAATCGCCTCCTGGCAAGCTGGGCCTCCCACCAAAAGGCCCTCATCTCTGACAGCTGAGGCTGGGTCGAAGAGACGCCCGGCCTGCGTGGAAAACAGCTCGCACTCGTGCAGAGGTACGAGGTACGACTATCGAAGGTGTTTCGGCTAGTTAAGGCTCTGGTACTCACTCACTTCCAGGGCGACTCCTTCCCCAAGACATGGCATCGACCGAGTTTTCAAGAGGCCCCGCAGCTCAATGACGACAGCAACGTCAGTGCCAACTGGGATTCCGGCGAGGCGGGTGCAGCCTGGGCCGCCCTGTCTGATTGGACCGGGTCCTGCCTTGGCATTGAGCCCCCACGCTGCCCTCTCAGCTGGTTCTGGATGCCCATGCGCCCGAGAGGCCATGCGTCGCCGCGCTGTGTCGACTTTCTAATCGCCTAGCTCCAACCCTGCCTGGAACAATGCTTTGGCCGCCCGCGTTGATAAGTCAAGCTGGTGCCCGAGTTTCCTCATGTAGTTGACGCTGCCCGGCCTGAAAAGCCAAAGCTTTCGGTGAAGAGAATCGCCGCGACGCAGCGAACCAGGCCCGATCGCAGCGGTGGTGTGCCAAAGTTCAAGAGTCCAAGGACGATGCGTCAAGAACCGTGCAGACTGTGAGATGTTGCTGCAACAGGTGCCGATGATGCAGCCCGCAGTGCATTACATGCCGCACCCAGCAGAGAAGGCAAGGAATAAGGCGAAAAATGAACCCATCGTAAGTTGCAGACGCCCGCAAAGCCAAGTGGACATGTATCCCACGGCTGCCGAACTCAGGAAGGCTACTGCCAAGATGAAATCCCGTGCCCCGGGACTCGACGGGTGGTCGGCTGCCATGCTCCTTCGCCCGCAGGCTTCTGCTTCTCTCTGGAAGGCCGTGATTCACTTCGGCGACGTTCCTCGTGCCTGGCAACGAGCCACCGTAGTCTTGCTGCCCAAAGACCAGGAAGACACGCGACCAATGGCCTTGCTTTCCATGGCATGGCGGCCCGGTGCAAGGGGCCATCGCCCGTCGCGTAAAGAGTTGGGTGGCCGGCTGGTGCGGTCACAGTGCGTGTGGATCTGCCCTTGGACGATCCGTGTCAGAAATGCGCCAAAGAATGTATTGTGCCTGGCGCCACAAGGCTAGGCTGCCGATCCTTTCTGCAGCAGGACTTGTCAGCATTTTTCGATTCGCTCTCTATGCCAAGTGTTGGCGTGGGTGCCCTGCAGGACCTGGCTCGCCTCATAACGGGGTTTTATCAGCTGCAGCTTCGACTCTTTCTGTAGAGGGCCACACGTCAGCGGGCTCATATTGGGTTGCTCCAAGGGTGTGCTCTTAGTCCCATGTTAAGCCTGTGCATTGGTTGCCTGTGGACGCAACAAGATTCCATCGCCATTCAGGCGGGCATCTATGTCGATGACAGGGTGCTCTGGATGCCGCGACCGCACAATGATGCACACCGGCTCGCGCAACAGGCTCTTCAGCGAATCGACCAGTTCAACAAGGCGGCTAGACTGTTGTGCAAGGTGGCCAAGTGCCACCTTGTGTTGTGCGATCCCGCATGCTCCTGGCACGAGGTCGCCAAGGCAAGAGGCTGTCAAGTGGTGGAAACCCTTAAATTCCTTGTCGTGCAAATGCACTTGAGTGAATTCGGGCCAAGCCATCCCGCTTATGCTGCGCCTCGATAAGCTCAAGTTACGCCTCAAGTTTGTGGCGAACCTGCGTTTGACATCGGCACTCGGCAACGCATTGTGCGCACCTTAGTATTCCCAGCCTTGTTCTGGGCTTCTGGGGTTGCGTTGCCCTCGCCGGGCGCCCTAAATTGCATCCAGGCTAGCACGGCACATGTCCTGAAGGTTCAACGGGCTTTTGAGGTTCAGCAGGTTCTCATTGGTCAGGTTCTTGGTTGGAATCTTTATGTCAAGTGGGTATCCGAGCAGAGTGCTCTTCGTGCCTGACCACGATGACATGCCTTCAGCCGAGATTCAAGCCCTGCGCTGTTCTGGGCTCCCGCTGCAAATCAAGTGTTGCCCCGTCTTGGATGGCAATTTGTCCCTGAGTCTATGCTTTACACGCCTGGAGAATAGAGGCCCGACCCGTGCTTACCGCCCCGGCGAGGGCTCTCGTGCCGTCTTCCGGAAGTGGTTGATTGAGGCGCACAAGCGCGAAGCAACTGTCAACTTCGGCCGAGTTGTGAACAAGAAGCAGCGCCCGGACCCTACCTCAGCGTTGGTTTAAACCTCGCTAGGCCCTACGCCGGTTCCTGGTTCTAGGTTGCTCTTGAAAGCCATCGCCAGGCCTTTGCGACTGCCTCCTCTTCTGAGGATCGCCATGCAGCCCTGGCCAGGCCGTCCAGGTCTCACCTCGTCTGGGCTTGCTCTTCGTTGAATGCGGACCGGGCTCATCTGCCTAGCCCGGACAGAGCCGACGGAGATCGATGCCCTGCCCGACATGCTGCTCAACTTCCTCGAAAGTGCTGCTGACCAGAGCGTGCAGAGTGTGATCATCGCGATTCATGGCAGCAGTCGGGATGGCATCGGCTCCTATGCGATCGTGTGCGACCAGCCTCGAGTACGGTGTGCGGGGGCTGATGCCTCAGAGGACCAAGCCCCTTTACGGATGGAGCTCTTGGCACTCGAAAACCTCTTGGGCGATTTGTTTCAGGCGGATCGGCCGCCGAAACAACTTTGGATCCTGGTCGACTGTGAGGCGGCCATCAAGTCAGTGGCATGCCCGCGCCTGCAGCTTACGGCTTCTTGTTGAACGAGCTCAACGTGCAGGCCAGCTTGCTAAAACTCGCTGGTGTCGTTGCGTGCCAGCTGGACCGCCCCAAGAACACTGCAACTGTCTGCCGATGCATGCCGCTCCTTGAACCAGTGTGCCGATGACATGGCTAACGCATTCCGTTCGCGGCGGGCTGTGGGTTCTTTGCGAAACCAGTGGTGGCAAAATTTTGTGCTCGCTCGAAAACAGGAGACACAAGTGGTGGAGTTTGCTGCAAATGCAGCCTCGCGCCTCCGGGCGCATGTTTGTACAGTTCCGGAGCCCCAGGATTCTCGATGATGACGATTAGTCTTTTCTGACTTGGCTTCAGCCTCTCAGATGCTACCTGCCCGGCTTTTGCTGCCCGTAGACGCTTGCACCTCGGAACAAAAAATCTTGTCTGATTCGCGAGATACGGAGAACACAGTGTTGGCAACACTACTTAGACATGTGTCAGTCGACAGCACACGTTGGGTGTTGTTTTAGAAACACATCCCTGGCAAAAAAGAGACACTACTAATGCCAAGGTTACTTAATGACTTACCATACGGCTTTCAGGCTCGCTGCCGAAACCAAGCCGTCCACACGAAGAACACTTTGTCGGTAGGTCCGGCACGACTCATGCAACGACTTCTAGGCCCAATACCAATGCGAAGGCTTCGATACGAAGAGCGCATTGTTGGTAGTGCCAATACCTAAAATTTCGATACATGTGGATTTTTTCTCGCACGCTTCCGTACGAGGAACACGTTGTCGCTGTACAGGAACGAATCATGCCATGACTTGTCGGGGCAGTAATGCCACGGTTTCCATACCAAGAACATATTGTCGGCAGCGCAAGCAAAGCACCTTTCAGTCGACGGCACTCCTGGCTGATTGGTTCCCGCTTAGCTGCAGGAGCACACGAAAGTGCCACCCTTCCTTCAGCTTTTCGTCGAGCCCTCGTCAAGCTTCAGGGCTTCCACGCTTCGCCCGCAAGGTTCTCACTGCGGGCATTGGAGAAACGTCCCGGTGCCCTCCTCCTGAACAAGCAGAAGGCCTGTCAAGGTTTGTACATAGTTGGGAGTACTGTCGCTGCTCGGGCCGCCACGGTTGTCATGGAAACCGAGTCAACCAGCAGCCACTGGTAATCTTGATCTGGAATTGGGCGGCGCTTGTGGCAGTTGCACGCTTGCCAAGGGCACGTCGAAACAAACATACAACGGTCAGGTCTTTGATGAAGCCGAGGCCATGGCGTCAGCTGCGAGAGTTTCTTGTAGTTTTTGCTTGGCAGCCACGAACGTGTGCAATCTGGCCCAGATACCGATGATGTGTAAACATGTTGTAGACAGTCGAAACCATCTTTCGTGCACTCACAGCTGCATTGTGCATCTGTACACCTTGTTCTACATCGCATGTTCTACTCAGCAAGTGCTGTTAGAAAGCACGAATACCCGGAAATGCCAGGATTGGTTTCAAGCAGTGGATATATAGTTCTGGAGCCGAAGAGTGGCAAGTGCTTCAAACAACCTTGTTGACAGACATGCCGCTTCCTGCATTATCCTGCATTGTAGAAGTCGCTTTTTGCCTCCAGACCTGAAATCCGACATCAGGAAACGGCGAAGATATTCTACGAGAGACAGAAGATAGAGAGGCGCCCCATTCATGTTTGGGCTGGCCGGATGCAAGGATCAGGGGCCACAGCTGTGCTTGGATCACCGCGCTTAGCCCCAGTTCCAGTTGGGGAATGCACTCGGATGGCCAGGGAGAAAATTGACAAGACGCTTTCATCCACTCTGGGAGATGACGAGGACTGCTGCATTGCTTGTTGTGCTGCTCCCATGCCGCCAAACTAGCTAAACGGCCGCAGGAAGAAACGAAGTCGTCAGCGCCAACAGACGCCGCGGGTATGCTAGACTTCATGTTGGGCGACGACGACGATGAATTCTGAGACCGTGGCCACCAACCATGCGCCGGCAACAGTTGCCTTTCGACCCAGGTGCAAAGCAGAGATCTCGTGTAAAGCCATCAAGGTGCTTGAAACCTGCTGATTCCCCTCATCGCGCTGGCCCATGCTTCGGCAGCAACTGTCTCATCTCTCGTCGATGTGACGCTTCATCAGAAAAGGAAGCGTGACTTCAGCAAAGCAGCTGTTTGATCTTCCGTTTGGGAGGCAGCTTGAGTTCTGTTTCCTGTTGTAAGGCTCTCTGCTGCACACACCCGTGCATCCACAAACGCATGCAGCTGAATCGAAACGAGAGTGGAGATTGTTCCCGACTTTGAACCAGATTCCCCTCATCGTGTCTGCACTGCGAAGCTTCTCGTGCCAGTTTGTCGATCTCCTTGTGGCTGTTGCGCTCTTGCTGGCAAATGTCCTTTGTGGGTTCTCGGCATTCAGCCAAGGATTGGCCTAAGCCTCTCAATCTTTCACTCCGTGGTCTCGTGTCTCCGGAACTTGTGTTCTGAAAATTTGTCAGCTTCGGATACAAGAGCATACCTGAAGTGCCCATCACGTTCCACTCAGTTCAATATTTTGTTCACTGTGTGTCAATATTGTGTTATGCTGAACAGATGCTGAAATCCAGTAGGAGATCGAGCCACTTAGGCACCACCTCCCACTTCCACTGCCCTCAGCCACGCAGCCAAACTTCTTGATGATGGGCGATTTCTTCATGCGGGAGGAATGAAAATGAAACGAATAGCACTGCAAGCACATGTCTTCTGTTATTCATTTTGCAGGCCTGTTGACATCCACGCATTGCAGTATTGCTTGTTTTTGTGTGTTTGTTCGTCTCTCTCAGTCCGTCAGTGCCTGCCTGCCTGCCTGGCAGTCCGTCTGGAAGTAAGCCTGTCTGTGTGTCGATCTGCCTGTGTGCCCGCGTGTCTGTGTTTCTGTTTGTCTGTGTGTCTGTGTCTCTCTGGTCTGTGTGCTTTTTTGCTGGTTTACTTATCTCGACCAGTGCAATTGGCCTCGTTCCAGATGCAACGTGGTTTATGACAAACTTGTGCGAGATCGCAAATTGGTTCATTCTATGATGGGGCCTTGCTTAACAAAGAGGATTTGCTTGCTAGTTTGGGAGCGGTGTTTGGACCGCCACTGAAGCGCACCACGCTGTCCCGATCGTTCGTGGAAACTTGGGTTTAATTTACATTCCTCACTGCCTGTGGAACCATACAGGGGTGGCTTGTGGCAAACCAACGGACTCCGGATGCTGTTCTGACTTTGCGATGCGATCCTCGCCGGCCCTGCTTCCCAGTCTGTCAGAGGAGCCACAAGATTCTTACAAAGCTTTGTGTCGATTTGAACACAGTGTGATTGTGTTTCACGGGCCTCCCGTGTCCATGCTTTTCTGCATGAGGGTCGGTTGCAAACTGCTGCTGAGCATCACACAATTGTGAGCCAGGAAGCCTCCACTTGCGACGGCTGCTGCGACAAGTCCATCGGCGCCAGTCCTTAACGAGACTTCTGGCTCGAATTGAACGTTACCGCATGCCTTCCAACCGCCCCTGTATTTTGAGTGCCTGCAAGAGTGCTGGTTACTTCCTGGGCAAGGCGTCTGCTTGCCAATACATCCTTGCCTCCATCAAGGATCCTGAAGATTTGTTGTTGGATTGGAAAGATGGGAGGCGCGAATCAAATTGAAAGATAATGATGCGCTAACATTGTCGCACGACTGAGCCTTTCGTTTTGACTGACAGCTGCCTCTCAGAATGCCTACCAGGGCATGGCCAGACTGTGCATTTTCTCAAGCTGCAGTTGTCACCAGACAAAAGTTGGGTTTTGTCAAGCATCTGCTCGTGGTGGAAAATGTTGGGGTTGATGCTGGTGGTGTTCTTGTTCCCGTGTATTGGCACGCCCTGAGGATCTAGGTCAACTGTAATGTCGCCACATTGCGGCGCAAGGGAATTTGGAAGGGTCGGCTCCAAAAAATGCGCACTTGTATTGCGGATTCCACTGCAAGGGCTTTTGGGTTTTAGTAGATCTGGCGACGGCCCACAGATTTCGTTAGACTTGTCCAGTGGTTCCCTTGATCCTCAACTGCAGGCTGTCGTCAACCGATGCAGTCGGAAGGAACCAGCAACTTTTCCCAAGTACTGGCACATTGAGAACCATGCCCCGAATGTTTTCCCCAAAGTACTGGCGGGATTCAGAAGAATTTGGGAACAATCGCTTGCCCCGAAATACTGGCGGCTCCAGCACGAAAGCGCTTTCCAAAAAGTCTTGGCGGGATTGGGGGCGCGAGACTTATGTTTCCGCCTCTTTAGCTTGCGGGATCCAGCGGAACAGCGGCAATCCCTTCCCCAACAGTGGTCCATGCACAAGCAATCCTGGCTCCGGGGCGCGCTGCTCAGGCGAATCCTCCACAAACAATATCACCCCAGCGGGAGATGCGCGCCGCGAGCATCTTGTGTAAATAGTAGGACACCGGGACCACAGATGCTATAAGGGGGAGCCATTTTTAATTTTTGCACACATTGTGTGGGAATGTCAATCTGCGACAACCCCATACATAGTTCAGTGGCAACGAAACTGGTTCCCCAAACATTGTGGCATTGTGGTAACGCTGACACCGTGGCCCATGGTGTCACCACACTGTTTAAGGGGAAAGAACTGTTGTCACTACAATGTCTTGGTAGATGCAGCCGCCAAACAAAGTTGTCAAGCAATCAGGGTTGGCATCTTGCACACAGTTGTTCAGTAGACATCTGTGCAAAGAGTAAAGGAGTCAAACGACTGTCCGTTTGTTTCTGTGTGTCTTGTTTCCTTGTTTGCTTGTTATTCGTTCGCGCACAAGTTGTCTTCGGTTTTGCTTGTGGCTCCTGCTGCGTGACAACGGTCCGTCGCAGGAAAGTCTTGAAGTTCATGACTTCAGAAGCCCAGCTGCACTGGCTTTTAAAGTCCTCCCGGAACCCTCCGACCCGTAGTCCTACCTTCCCGTTTTCTTATCTACGAGCTCACAGATTAGCTGTGAACCGCCAATTTTGGAGTAAACTAGTGAGGCTGCCAACGTGCAAGACACTCCTCACAGCTAGCTCCTTTTCAATCTACTCACAGACTGTACACTAGGAGTTACTGCGAGAGAGTTGCATAGGGCCGCCCAAAAAAATGAAGCCCAGCTACACGCGGAAACAGGAGAAACACAACTGGAGAGCATGAACTGCTTGGTTAAGCCGACATCTGCTGCGATACACAAGCAGCAAGTGTGTGCAACTGGGTTGCATCCCAAGCAACGGCGGTGGAGCCCCGCTTGTTTCTGCCACGTTTTCCATGGTCGGATGCTGGTTTGAGAAAGGTGCGGGTGAATGGGGTTGGCAATGGATACGCTAGGTCCGGTTTGACGATCCCGCAGAGCCGAAAGATTCTGCTGGAGGCCATTGCTGTTGGCCCAAGGGATCCAGCGCCCAGCGCCTTCAGAGCACCGTGCCCAGCTCTGCGCCATGTCGTCGACGAAGAAGCAGTCCAAGGAGGGTCCCCTAGACTTCAGAGAGAGAGGCGGAGAGACAGAGAAGCAGACAGAGACAGGGTCTTTCTTTTCCTGGATGCTCACTATAGTCGGGGAATGCAGTTGGAAGCTTGCTTGGGTGCTCCACCGGATGTGGAGTTGTTCACAAAGGGGATAATTTGTCTTGGACGGCCGGTTTCCCGTAGTCCTTGCAGTGTGTGAGTGGAACAAATTCTTTGCCTGGGCAACGGCAAGTAAGCTGCAACGGTGGTTGGAAGACAAGGCACATTTTTGGTCCTATACTTCTGATTCTACCAGCAGGCAGGCTATGCATGTTGCCACACAGCAGGGGAAGACCAAAATGACTTATTGCAATGATAGTCAAGCAGTCAGGACATTGTTTTAGTCACGCAGTTTCTATGAGCACCGAAGTACCCCGTCCTCAAGCCCCAAAGACACAATGCATGAAGCTTTCCAAGAATTCCATTCGACATTTGTGGCGGGGCGGCTGTATGTAAGACTTTACGGGGGCAGAGCCGCCCAGCCGCGGCGAACGTCCCACAACGACAGCACCACTGAACTCTGCTGATGTCACATCTCCCGAGCCAGCAAGAGAACCTACGAGGGGGTCACCCCCTAAGCCCACCGAAAATTAGAGCGAGAGACAGCGAGAGGGAGAGACAGAGAGAGAGAGATGTCTGCCTACACACTCAGTGTGCTTACCGGTCGTTCGCTGTATAGTGTTGAGGTGTTGACGTGCTAGCCAAGCGCGACCAGCCGACCACCGAAAAACTACGACGACATCTGCAGACAAGCCGGGGACCCGACAGAAGGACGCCCCCGGAGGAAAACCAAGGCCAAGAAGGCACCAAGAACAATAGCAGCAGCACCTCCAGCTCATCAAGCAACTCAGATTCAATGCCGCGAGAACAAAAGCTACCTCTCCACCCACAGGCAACCTCTACCTCCCCGGCACCGACGCCAGCCAGCTCAACAACTGACCCAGGGGAGAGGCAGTCGACCTCGAGTTTAGTGCCAAGGATCTTGAGGAGGAAAAGGTGGCCTTCGACGCCATATTGGGGTGGTCCGAGCCGACGAACGGTAGTGAGGGGGGGGATTCTCCCTGTTGCTCACACGTCGGTGGGGATGTCCCCGTGGTCTCTGCTGCCTCCTACTTCTGGTAGGAGGCGCCGACGGTGTGCTATTGCTGGGTCGTGTCATGGCATTCGGCATGCCGGTGGGAGGCCTCCTCTGCGTTTATACGGCAGTTCTGGTAGAAGAGCTTGATGTTGTTGGAGTTCTCTTCCGTCCTCTCTCCTGACTTGACATAGGTGCTTGCGAGCTATCCCTCGGCGTCTGGTAGTCGATGCTGTGGTTCTTCCCGATGATCGCGTCGAGGGACTTGTCGTGGTTGCAGTCGGTGCCTGCCTCGGTGTCGTCGAGGCGCTTCTCCTTTATCTCGCTCCGGCTTGGCGGAGGTGCTCCTTTGCATGTTCCCGCCGTTTGGTCGTAGTCGTCGCTGTTGGTCCTGCGGATGATCGAGTCGGGCTCCGTTGTTCTGACGCACTGCACTAGCAGCCCCACCTTCCGATAATGGCATCCCGAACAACACTGCATTTGACAGGCCCCGCCACGCTGGAACAGCGAGTCCCTCCATGCACGATGCCTCCACCCGGACCAAGTCGTCTTTTCTGGAGAAAGCCGAACCCTATACCGAGGACAGCCCCGACTGGGAGGCAGAACGACGATAACGATGAGGACAAGGCTGACAAGGCAGTGGGCGAGCACATGAACGACGACCAGATGCCCGGAGCGACACGCGGGGAAGTGCAGGGCACGGAAAGGCCTGCCGAATCCCAAGGACCACCACCCCGTCAACGCCGTCATCGTCTTGGCGAAGACGACCAGATGTTTACTTTCTTGCAACTTTGCATCACTGGGCTAGTGGGATACCCCGTCGTTCTGTTGACTCCACCCTCTTACATAGGTCGTAAAGAGACGACCGAGAAACGAACCTCGTTGAGCTGCCCGGCGCCGAGCTGATCCTCAACAGAGGGCATCCCCCCCTAAGCCCCTGAGCCCTTGGAAAGAAAGAAACACAGAGATAGAGAGAGAGAGAGAGAGACAACAAAAACTCGGTGCGTGAGCGCCAAGCGAGAGTACAGCATAAATGCATTGCCACCAATTAAGCATGCGATTGAGAAGCTAATGGGGAACCAGTGCAATTTTCGCTAGGAGGTTGGCTTTTCAAGGGCACACTGTGGAGCACTGTCGTGTAAACGGCTGCTCAAACGACTGCTCAATCAACAAAAAAGAGTGCAAAGTGGACATGAAGGAACACAGGTGTCCTACCCAACCGCGGGAAGCAGGCAACAGTCAGCACCCAACACGCCAAAGCAACCGATGAGCAGTTGCCGAGATCAGTGCTGTGACGGTTTACCCACTTAGACGATGCAGATGCAGCAACACCCAGACAGTACACTGGAGAATTAGACCGGGGCGGGCGTGGAGCTGCGAATGTACGAGGTGAAGACATAGCTTGACCTTGAAGATGATTCTTTTTGCTGTTTGCTGTTTGGTATTGCGGAGAGTCATGTCGCTGACGTTCATCTGAATGTTAGATGTGTATAAGCCGTTGTTCAGATATAAGAGGCTGGACGAACGAGAGAACTAGGCCACAAAGAGAAGGAGAGAGACGAGTCAAAAGTAGTTGTTTCATGTGCCCGAAGAAAGAAACAAGCGTAAATTGAGACATGCGCATCATCTTCAACGAAATGGTGGCAGGGTGCTAGCGACTGCTAACGGCTCAGGCAGAAACATCGCTTGATTTCAATTGGGTGTTCAGGGTGCTGTACTCAACATCATGGTGCACGTTACAAGTGACATCGAATTCGGAAGTGATGTTAGCTCGCATTCATGCCCCGGCAGGCTTCTAAGAGTGCAGACTCCATCAATGCGCGTCTGCAGCTGGTCATGAAAAGCGGCAAGTACAGCCTGGGGTCGCGAGCCTAGTACGAAGCAGACAAGACAGAGTCACCCTGTCGACATCCGGACCAAGTTATCATGTGCGCAAGAAGCTGAGTCTCAGGTTTGTAGATGACGTAAATGAACCCTCTTTCCGAAGATCTCCTCTCTGTGCTCTTCAGCTTCTGGAGGTACAAGACCACCCTGAAGACTCTTCGTCAGGGAAAGGTTTGCAACTTAGAACAAACAGGTTGGAGATGGGGCGTTTGCTTTATGCAATTGTCTTGCAGGTTAAATCAAATGTGCAGAGCCGACACAAACAGTCCGTGCTTGCCGCTGTGGAATCTTGTTTTGTGACTGTCGTCATGAGTAGTCATGGTCGCGCGATAGCCATCTGACGTTCAGAAACACTCCCTTGCGGGAATCAGACTATCAACAGCAAGAGTGCGCAAGACCTGTCGAGCTTGCTGCCAGTCCAAGCTGGTGCTCATCTCCAACAACTGCCCTGCCTTGAGGCAGCATGGCACTGCGAGTAAGGTCTCGCAAGCCCCGGATGCACCTGAGCTTGTAGGTCTCACTTTCGAGCCTTGATACTTGCATGAAACTTGAATCTGATGTCGATGATGGCCAGCTAGGATGTAGTTTCGTTACCGCTGTGAAGATCTGGCCAGGAAGAGCGAGATCGAGTACTATGCCATGCTGGCAAAAACAGGAGGTTGCAGAGCATCTTTAGCGGGTTATCCGGGCCCGCTACATGAAAGCTGTTTCTGCGATGCATCTTCGGTGAGTTGAAGAGCTGTTCGCTCTGTCAGCCCCATTTTGCAGTCCACCACTTCCATGGTGACAACAACGAGCTGGGAACGGCTTGCGGTCGGTCGGGGCCTTCCAATCCTGCAGACACTGCAGCTGCTCAACGGCACACACCCGTGAAGCAATGGCCTCAAAGTGCACCAGGTACTACCGGGTGAGCTGCCTGTCCATCACCGATCCGGGCGACTCCGACATTATCCGCTCCCTGCCCGGGGACACAGATTAGGATTCGGCAGGCAGCGAGTAGCAGCAAATGCCAGCATGTGTCTGGCAAAGGACTTGCGGTGTGGAAGTCTATCTCTGCACAGCTGCCGAGACATGTAGCTGTCAGGCCCGGTCAAGAGTGAGGAACGTGAGCTGGAGGCGCATTCTTCTCAATTGGTGTTCTTTGCCTCTTTCATGCACGCCTGAGCCTAAATCTGTGTCTTTTCGCAGGATGGCAGAAGCGCGGAGTCGAGTATGGCACGGAGCAAAAGAGTGTCATGAATCTTGAAGTCTGCACTTGGGATTCCTTTGAAGTGCCCAATGGGCATCGGGCATGCTGAAGTGTGCTGGATCACAGCAGCCTTCTAACCCCAATTAGCATCGACAGGATGTGGATCCACCTCGCATACTGGGTCTCGAGCGTGCCGATCTTGCCAAATGGAAATGCATTCTGATTGCCATGACGGTTCCTCCGAGAAAACACGTCCCCCACAGGGCCTCGCCCTACCCCCTCGGCTCTTCGGGAGAGAGCATACAGTAGCAGAATACTAGTTCAATTGAGGCAGTAGCCTCACGCGCTGCCTTGCTTGTGCCATGATCTGGCAATGAGAAGATCACGGGCAGGAAACTCAGCAGGGGCCTCTGCACATGACATGCTGGTTCAGGTGGCTTTGTCCAGACTTTCACCGGATGCTTGGGGTGGTTCCGGGAGCTGCGTTGTTTGAAGCACGAACCTCCGAAGCATGCTGCGTCAGCGACGCGTCCTCGAACCTCAGGCGAAGTACGAAGCACGCTGCGTGCATGCTGCGTCAGCGAGCTTGTGAGGCGAAGCATGCGAAGCGCGAAGCTTCGATGCACAGGGCGTCGGAGCATCAGGCGAAGGACAGTGCCTCAGAGCGTCGCGTGAGGCACGGTGCGTCAGAACTTCAATAACAGGTTTGGGTGCGGACAATGTGTTGCCTTTCATGCTCCACCTCTCTCCGATGGAAAGTGGAGTCTGGGGGCTTCAAGGGCGCGACCTAATGCCACATTGACGAGTAACCCTCGCAACGGTGTCCAAAAACTCGCCAGTCAAAACGTGGTTGCAGTGCTGCCACTGGACTGATGGTGAGCCCTCACCGGGCGCAACTGTCCTATCACCACGGTATGTTGCGACGAGCCAAAGAACAGAGAAGAGTGGTGGTCACTGAGTAAGAGTCAGCTTCCCTGAACGGTTCTTTGTTTCCGCCGATTCCGCAGCTGCACGAGCGGAGGAGATGTCGACGATTCTTTTCCCATTACGGCGGACACGGCCACCAAGAAGGTGCTTGCTCGCGTTCCTCGGTGTTCCATCGCTCATGTTGCAGTGAATGTGTTCAGAGTTCGATCTGTGGAGCGCAGGAGTGTGGCTTTGCAGCTGACACTGTTGGTACTTGGATTGGGTGCGAGCTTTGCCATCCCTGTGCCCTCAAGGCGTGTCATGCTAGCGGTAGGTGGGCACAGGTACATACAAGATCATACAAACACACATCCAACTTCCAACAGGTTTCGGTTCTCTGTATATATCTCCTCCATGCCAGTCTTCTATGCCAGTCTCCTGCTTGGCAGGCAGCCGCGGCACGCTGGTATTGCTGGTCATGCAAGCGGCTTCACGGGATGTCGCCCAAATCCTCCCGCACAGATCCTGGCGCGATCCAGCGTGCCAGGGGTCTACCCTTTCTGGGTCCTCGAACCTCGGCCTGTGCAGATCCCCTCTTTCATGGAGATGCTTTGATGGCGAGGGCCGTGATGAGCCCTGGCACAAGGACTGGTCCTTTCTGGGTCCGCAAGCGCTGCTGTGTGCAGCGGTCCTTTTCTTCTCCGGCGTCCTCTGCTCGGCGGCGGGCATTGGCGGAGGCCTGCGCGCCATGTGGTCGTCTCGGTGATGCTTGTGATCCGAGTGAGTGTATTGTGACATTCGGAGCAATCGAACTTTGCTTTCATCTCTTTCAGATGCAGGCCATGAGTACCGAGCCAAAGGCTACATTAATTCGATACTGTACCACCCGAGCCGTCGCTGGGACCAGTCTCCATCTGCATCAGCTAGCCGCAGCTAGCCGCACAACCAGTGGGACTCAGAACGGGACAGCCGGGAGGTGCCTCGTGTCTGAAAGCCAGTTGTGCCGACGGTAGCTTCGTCGCAATCCTGAAGTCTGTCTGTCTATGAGCCAGGAATTATCCGTGGGAGCTTCCTCTGCCTGAGTGGAAAGCCTTCTATGACATACTTCATGTTTGAAGCCAGAAACTCCTTGAGGGAGCACGCTCTGGCACAGAGCATTACTGTGACACAGGGGCAAGTTTGCCGGGCAAATCTGGTGCAAGGCCTGCAGTGTGCCTGTGCTTGAAATTGACTCCACCTTGCCTGTGCAGGTGGCATTTATGTATCTTTGCTGATGGTCCTCGGTGGTCTGAGCACCCGCGATGCAGTGCCGCTCTCTAAAGGAATTGCCGCAAAGCTGCATGGGTGGAAACCAGAGCTTTTGCGCAGCGCCGACACCCCCGTGAGGTGTTTTTTGGATCAATGGCCTCCTTGGTGCTCAACATGCGTAAAGCTAGCAAGAAGAACAAGGTCATCCACTATGGCAGGGGCCTTCGGCGAGTGATGAACAGTGAAGGGCGTGCTCGAATTCGCGCTCTGCCAAATCGAGGAATATGCCGTGTGGTGGTACCTTCTGCCTTGGTCGGCACACTCTTCGGAGTGCTGAACCTGCCTCAGGTCCGACAGAGAGCGTGGAGTCATTCTTGAATGAGCCGTGCGAGGATAAACCACACGGCTGGGGACCGCCCCATTTTGCTGCTGTTGATGAGCATCCTCACCTTCATGGCATACTCGTTGGAACCTCAGCAGCCGTGTGGGGTTCTTCGATCACGCAGTGTGTGTTTGATTAACCCCACGCTTTGGCGCATTCTCGTTGTCTTCCGTTGGAGTTATTTCGTTTCAATTATTCCTGTCGTGCACCGTCGTTGTTCTTAATGTGTATGTTGATCTCTTTGTCGTGTTCGTTTCATTTCACCCCTTCAAGTGCGTTACTTATGTTATTTTATGCTTGGCGTTGTGTGTTGTGTGTCAGCTGAGTTCGTCATCGTATTCGGCTTCGCAGTTCATCGCCAGTTCACTTCATGTCTGTCCGTCAGTGCCGTGTGCATGAACTCGACAGCGGTGCTATTCATGTGCTCGCAAATGGCTGCGTTTCTTTTCGAGGTCAGTCCGGACGACGTGGCGTCAGGCCGTTGCCGAGTGGGGGCACCTTTGCTGTTATGCGGGATGGACTCTTCGTGGCCTCAGTCTTGGAAGCTGCGCTTGTGCAAGTACCCAGGAGCTCGACTGCAGCTGCTGCCAAGGAGGCGAAAGCTGACAGGGCGGCTTCAGCCGGCAGCCCTTGGCAGAAGAGCGACGTATTGGGAGGTTTGCACTGGCTCTGCAAGTCTATGCAAGGATGCTGTGTCGGAAAATTCGTGACCTTCATTGCAGGACTTGGCATGCTCTTGCTGGTGGTTGCGTGTGGTGCTGCGAGGTTCCATCTGCACAGCTCGCGACCCAGGATGTCGATGGGCCCAGATTGGCCCAGCATGAGGCCCAAGGTTTGTCTGTTTCGCCTTGTTCGAGGCTGGCAAAGCTTGTGCAACCACACAGCTTTGATCCAGAAGCTGCTGCTGCTGCTTCCAATCTCTGTGCCAAGCAAGCAAAGACATCATGCCATCATTTGCAAGAGCAGATGGAACTGCTGACATGGACTCATGCGACACGGAAGAATCACGAGGTGTGCACTTGCGCGACAGTGTACAACAGCGACCTGGAAGCAACGAAGAGGGCAGAGAGCACAGTAGCAAAGTGAAGGCGACAAGATGGAAGACAAGAAAGGAAGGAGTGGACAAGGCCTCGTGCCTGGTGTAATTGTAAGCGCTTTGCCGTCGTCCGTCTCGGCCCGCAGGTGAGGAGTCTCAGTTTCAGATGTGGGCCGAAAGGAGTCGGTGAGGGAGGGGGTGGGGGGGCAGGCCTGGAAACGGCGTGGCTTTCCAGTTCAGGGTGGAAGGGGCCCGTGGTCCTTTAAGGGGGTAGTGACCGGGTAGTGGGTCACTCCGAGCCACGTCTTCCGAAGATCCTGATGACTTGTCAGACTTGTCTTCTGCAGCGACACGGCTGCCCGGTTTTGAACGATGCAATTCTGCGAAGGCTACATGTGCATTGGCGAGGAATGTCTGCTTCGTGAGGACGCGCCCGCCTTGGCTGCAGCTACGGCTTGCAAGGATGCTATCCTAGCTGGTTTGGTGCCAACGCTGCCTTGCTAGGTCGTGAAGTATGCCCTCATGGCAGCATTCACTGGTTGCTTCTTGGCTCAGCTTTCATTGGTATCCTGAGTGGCTCTATGGCCTTGTGCTGTGACAATTTGGATGCAAAGCCATGAGCCAAGGCTTTGCTGGGCTGGTGGGCATTGGAGGCCAGGAGATTAAAGTGGCGGGGCTGCACGGCGCTCGGCTGTGCGCAGGTGGGCTCATTTTCAGTCCCTTCTTCCTCCTGATGGGCGTAGATCCGTCTGTGGCTGTTGCTACTTCTTCGACCTGTGTCTTCGACTGCAAAGTGAAAAGACGATAGACGCAGGAGCCCCGCACCCGAGAAACTCATGACGACGATGCTAAGTGCTGCGGTGCACGAAGGTGTTATCTTCACGTCGGCCTCCACCACTTTTCAGTATCTGCTGACCGGGAGAATCATTATGTCGCTGGCTCTTTTCTATGGGGTCGCTCGGTTCGGAGCACATCCCAGTCCCCAGGGCAGGCTGGCCAACAGTGTATTGTCTGTATTGTGCACGTGTTGGTGGACACCCAAGGTTTGCAATCTTGCTGCCTCTTACTGCGGTACCTCGCTGGTCCTCTTTCTGCAGGAGAGGTTCCCAGGTCGGAGATCCATCGTGTCAGGTATTGCGCCTGGCTCAGACTATCCTGTTCAACATCTTATGTTGGCTGCGCTGGTCCCACATAAACACCGAGGTGACATTTGCGGTTCTGCTTAGCGCAGGGCTGGTGGCGGCGAAGATTGTGACGATATAGTGACGAAACATTGGTTACCGTTCCCGGTCGCAGATGGTGCAACAGCGGCTGAACTTCAGCGAGATCATGTTGGCGAGCGAGCCGAGCTCCGATCAGGGAGGCTGAGGGCTTGCACGCAAGACTCGTGACGGGTGGCTGGATGAGGCCAAGGACATTAGCTTTCGTCGGGTGGGCCAACATGGCTCATGGCACAGCCAGGGACGCTGGGACATGCTGGGACGCTGAGGGCAACGCATAGAGACGAGAGCCGGCAGAAAAGTGACTTTGCAACTGTGCCTCCAGTCTGACTGGCACTGCTATGGAGACTGCAAGGTGTGTGAAGTTGCAATGCCATGGGCTCGAGGAGTCCATGAGTGGGTTCCTGAAGTACAGAGCATAATCCAACATGTGCCACAAAGCGCCGAGAACGAGACAGTGAACGAGACCCCCTCTCTGCGTCAGAAGAAGTCTAAGCTCTTCAGCTTATCCAACTTCAACCTTCCCAGCCTCAGTAGCCATGGCCTCGCGGTCGGGCTCGCGGTCGCTTCGGTCGGCCTCCCCGCGGTCCTCGCGGTCGCCCTCGAAGGCTGCAGTTGACTTCGAGGTGTCGCGCTGGTGGAAGAGAGGGTCAGAGAGGGCAGAGCCCAGTGCAAAGGCCTGATGTTCAGTGAAGGTTGAATGTCAAGCACTCGGGATCGGTGGTGGGGATGCGTTGGCTTTCTTGCAAACGACCCCGAGCAACCAGAGGTGACAGGCAACGAAAAGACAAACCAAAAGAGGACTCGAACTCTCAAATCGCAGAGCCTTTCCGAGCCCATGTGCGGACAACCTGCAGGAAGATCTTCCTGGGTACTACCTCGTTGTCCATAACAATGCAGCTGTGAGGGAGACTTCGTCCAACTGCTCAGATGGCCTTGTCACAGCAGAGATGCGGGCTTGGAGTAGGAATTTTCACCCTACGAGGTCACTAGATTCGCCAGTGGCCCGGAAGCCCAGTCTGGTCACAGGTTAAGCAGTCCTTCGAGGTTTCTGCATGCCGGATGTGTATCTGTGAGGAGTCGTTGCTTGACTCGTGGGCCGGCCTGGGGCAGGTCGCACAGCTCGCTGCTGGCGAGGTTGTCCATGTCCTGGAGGCCAGTGACCTCCCTGGGAAGTGGTTGGCCAGGGCAGCATGCTTCCTCCCTTTTTCGGAACAGTAGGGCTGCAGCTCATGCTTCAACCATGGTTGCGCTTGAAGCCTGTCTGAAGGTCCTGCCAATGCCGCAGGTCGACAGGGCCGGGAGCCCTGAGTGAAAGCCATGCAAAGCTCCGGATGCGTGTAATGGCAACGGGCAATGAGTGCCGACCTTAAACAGGCATGTTGCAACGGGTTGACGTCGGTCAACTGTGGCAGCCGGTGCCAGCATGAAAGCTTTTAGATTCAGGTCAGGGCGAAGATCGACCATCCAAGCGGATGGATTTCGTTGCTGGAAACGAAGGCTCTGTGAAGCCTCTTGCTTGGAGAAAGTTCCCGCCCACCGGCTTTGCACCCGGGCCTTGTCGTTCTGCTCCTGAATGCGACTCCAGTGTTGATGTTGCGGCTTGTTATGCTTCCCCCCGAAGGAGGGCTATCGCTGGGCGATAAAGCAGGCTTGACTCTCGGGACTTACTCCGACACATTCTCTGAGCCTGTTCAGCACCCGTTTCACCACGGCGGCAGCAATCTCGGCACATCTCGAGCCTCCTTCGAATGCTGAGCTGCGACAGGCTGGGGCTCCGAAAGACCCGTGGGCCCTGAAGAAGGCCTGGATTCGCCAGCCGGGAGCATGCAAGCGACCGCTGCTGGCTGAGGCGCAGCTCGTTGCAGACGTGAAAAGACGTGATGCCGAGCTGTCACTTGGCTGCAAGTGTTTGAACCCATCGCCTGCTTCCTTCTTGTCCGCTTGCCGGTCATGTCCAGTGCTCTACCATCATATACGAATCATGTACTATCATGTTCCCTGCTGGCCCTGCAGGCAGCAGCTTCTCGCAGTGGCTGAGAGGCTTTTAGCGGTGGTCCGACTTGCGTTCTTGTGAAGCACTTGGATCGCAGATGATTGCCTTCGTCTGACTTGTTTGGATAATTGGTGACGGGCCGAGTGACTTGAACTCCCGCAGTTCTGCACAAGTAATTATTGTCACAGGCTGCGTGCGGAACACCAGCGCTCCCTGCAAAGTACAGAGGAGATTGCGGCCGATGTGGAGGCCGGTGAACTTGAGCGAGTAAGCGGTAGAGGGCGGGATCGGACATGGCAATGCAAGCTCATGGGTCACAGGTGAGGGTGTCCGGGTTCACTGCTTTCGGTTCAACTTGCTTGAAGGAACGGGTCCTGAAAGGATACCGCGTGTCAGCACCTCAAAGTGCCCGTTACAGGCTGCGTCAGAACGTCCTTTTGAATCGCCATGCTTCTGGCGGAGGTGCGACTGGAGCTCCAGCGGACAGCCGGCTACTCCCTTCGCCTACTCTGAGAAGGCAAAACCCTTAGGAATGCAGTCTCAACCAAGATTTGCACTTCATGTTCCCAGGCTGCACAGATGCAGAAACTGGCGGTGCAAGTCGGCCGGAGCCCCGAGGATCGCAAATGGTGAAACAAGGAAAGTACACTCGCATTGCCAGAAGGCGTGTTTGTTTCAGACCGCCTGGTCCAACCTGCAGTACAAAGCCAAGGTCCCCAAGTCTGTTCTGAAAGATTTGACTGTTGAGCTGTACTAGTAGGAGAAATCTGGGGTTCAGGTGCGACACAAAGAAGATCAATGTAGAGCCTCGTAGCAACATTGTAGCATGATATGCACGTAACTAGACTGCGCACTTGCCATAGCTCAGTCCGTTCGGGGTTTTGAGTTTTCCTTTGGGCCGAGGCACTCTGGGGCCGAGCACCGCGTGACGTCCCTGGAGCTGGAGCTGGATCCGGGCTGCCACGGAAGGCCCAGTTTGCTTTGCTGCCGCCTGAGGCTGAAGACCGATGGGAAGGATCGGTCGCCTTCAGAGGACCCGGGACCCGGGAGATGCCGGGAGGCTGTGGCCGCTTCGCCATAGGTGTCATGTCCAGGTGACGGATCCTACCGACCCGAAGTACCAAGTACCCGCAGGGCTGCCACCCGGGTCGAAGGCCTGGCTGGGGAGCCTTCGTCACCAGACAGTGTTGTTCTGCAAGGCTTCCGGTGCTTGCCTTGCTGCAGTCGCGAGGTAGTGGGCTTCCGCAAACTGCCTTCCCCGCACACAGAGGAAGCTCAACAGGACGTGAACGTCTGCAATGCAGAGCTTGTCTCTGTATCAAGTCGCCGTACACCTTCGGACGCATTGTGTTTAATTGCCGAAGCTCGTGCAAAGTGGAACTGCTCCATCACTCTGCGACAGGAGAAACCGCAGGCGGCTTCTTCTGTGTAGCTTTGTCTTCAAGGGTCTCGCCTCTGTCGAATGGTGTCCTGAAGTTTCCATGACCGGTTGCCGACCAACGGCCGCAAACGTGTGTTAGTTCCGGTGGAGGCATCTGGCCGGGTTGTTCACTCCAATGCGATCCTGCAGTGTGTCCCCCAGTATCCAATTGCACAAGCCACTTTCCACGAGCAAGTCTTCGTCTAACCCGCACGGGCTTCGCGACATGATAGTCTTTTCCTCCTGCACATCCTGCTGTTTTTCGTTGCAAGCCCAGTGGTGCGAAATCAAGGCCGAGCCGTGTCTACTCGACACAGCCAGCGGATGTTTACCCTGCTGAGGGCGTGTGCGCGTGCTACACTTCCACACCCTGTCCGAGAGAAGCATGACGCTCGTGCTTGCTTCGTCCCTGCACGAGAGTCCTTGCAGGTACCCGATCGTACGAGCGCCAATGGGTGTGGCGACGAATCTGCTTGAGAGGTTCGGTCCGGTGACGGATAGCGATTTGACGTGCGGGAAACATCAAGACATCTGTGGGCAGGCCACTCGCTGAGGCAAGTGCCGCGCACTGGACTGCCCCGGAGGACTTCGGGGAGGCCCAAAGCTGCCTTCGATCCGAAGCGGCTACATGCTTTTGTCACCAAATCGATGTGCCTATCGCCGGTCAATAATGCACTATCGGCTGGTCAGCTTGCATTATCCTCGGTAAATTCCTCTTCGCAACATCGTCCGGTTGTGCCGGGAGTGCTACTCATTGAGTTTGTTCGTGCCTTCCTCTTCCTGTCCTGATCATGCTGTGTACTCTCCGAACTTATCACATGAAGTGTTGGCCAACAATTTTTGTAGTTTCCTGTTTGTGATCCATTTTCTTGCTGTGGTAGGCATCCTTGCTTTCGGTCTGCCGCGTGGTCTTTCGCGGAAAGCTCCCGGATGTTCAGTGCTTGTCGTCGGCTCTCACTCATGCCGACTCATGCCCTCCTCGACTGTCTTCATATTGTCATTGGCCGTGAACAGATGGAGCTGCTCCTGTTGCCCCGATACTGACCCATGGTAACAACAAGCATACTGCTGGCCCTTGAAGAAACGCAACAACATCTTCGACAACGGCAGCTCCCACTACAACTGCAGTAAGATCAATTGCGGCGGCACCAACGGTAGCGACAGCAGCATCAACAATTACCACTACCACAACCACTCCCACTGGCACTGTGGCTGCGACTGCTGCTGCGGCTGCTACTGTTGCTGCTGCTGCTGCTGCCACTGCTGCTTACGGCCACTGCCACTGCTACTGCGCAACGACGACGACGACTGCTGCAACTGCTAGTGTCAGCATCGCAGCCCGTGTTGCTAAAGTTGCTAGCGCCGCAACGTGCCCCAGGGTCGAAGCTTCCTCCGGTCAGCCTCCGAGCTTCGAGCTGAGATCTCTGATGTTGATGATTTGCCAGAAGAATCCCGACTATTGTCATGAGTCATGAGTGCTGTGGTTATGAGTTATGATAGTACTTATACTAGTTATACAGTATTATGATGGTGCCCGCGATTGTCATCGCCGTGTTGCTTTTCTGGGCCGTTTTCTGAAGCAGTGAGGTCTCAGCCGTCAGAGGTTAGAAGCTGGAATCTGAGAGTTCATTGACGCTTTTTGCTTATTCCTCTGTAATCCGTGTGAGAGACAAGTTCCCTCCCTGGGAAGTATCCATCGGCGGTTGCGGGTCTCCTGCTGCTAAGGCCAGAGACCTTCGGATTCGATGAGCAAGCAGGAGCAGTCGAGCGTCGAATTAAGCCTGATGTGTGCCTTAGCACGAGTTCTGCATGAGCTTTGTCTGCTTCGCCTCAAGCATCAAAACTATGAGGCGAGTCCATACTCAGAAAGGGTTGATTCAGAAGCACACCGGTGCGTCAAGCCGTCTCCATTGAAAGAGACGCATAACCCAACCAAGAACCGTGTATGCGTGCTCCGTACCGTGGTTACGCGGTCGACGCGATGCACCGCATTTTCCAACTTAGGGTTGCGCAGGCCTCCCCCTTTGCAGATGAGGCAGCGCGAGCGATAGCAACTTGGACAGTACTGTACTGGAGAGACCTCCGAAGGCAGGGAGTCTTGAGATAGCAAAAATCAGGCCACAAGGAGGAACCGTGGATGTTGTAAGTTGTACCCCAAGTCCAATGTGATGTTATCATTCCTTCCGGGCTTCCATGCAGTGCCTTCCCTGCCATGCTAAGGTCGGACTGCTTCATGGGTCTTCAAAGTGAGTGTCGCTATTCCTTGAGTTGTTGTTGCTTTTGCTGATAATGATCGCGGGTGTTTCCACTAGCTTCATCCGTGAAATAGCAATATGACATTCAGAGTGGGATTCAGCGTCTGGAAGCTCGCAGCAGTTGCCTCGGAATGTTCTTTAGCAGCTTTCGGGTTTTGGAGTTTACGATACATCGTGGAATTCACTTCTCATGTCTTAGACGAGTCTTCGTTCGTGCGATGAAGATGCTCTGAACTTGTATGAACATTGCCACAGCGAACATGCTGGCCATGCAAGTAATATTGGAAATACAAAGACTCGGAGCAACGATGGCAACTCACTCCTAGTAAAGCAATGCTCCGACCAGCTTGTTGCTACAACTACCACTACCGCTACCGCCACCGCCACCGCCACCCACCACCACCACCGCCGCCGCCGCCGCCGCCCCCGCCACCGCCACCGCCACCGCCATCGCCACCGCCACTGCAAGTAAAGTACAGCTTGCAGCAATGCGTCGATTTGTGAAGATGAAAAGCGGGCGTTTTACTGTCCTTGCCGCAGCTGCATCACAGTGCGTTTGAGCAAGTTTTTGTTGCCATGACTTGCAAACCCCGAGCACCCTGCCGTCCAGGTGGATACTTCTACAATGTAGACTACTGAAGAAGTCATTGTCTGATGCGGATGGTGTATCTGTGGAATGAAGCCCCTCGAACTGTTGCGCGGCTCTACCTGCTTTTGGGGGGCTGCGGCTAGGATTTGTAGCGGCCGGGTAGGCCTGTCCCTAAAGTGATTCCGGGCCGCAATGCTGAATCGACATCCAAATTGGGACTTGATGACGGGTGCTCCTGAGATGATCGGTCCCAAATCCCGCCTTTCCCAACTCCGCAGCTGCTGGCGGCTCCAGAGGGAGCATGCCTCTTCCATACAGACACCGCCCGCGCCCGCCAGCAAGACAAGGCCGTAAACAGAGCCATTGTTTGGCAAACCCGATACCAACTTAGCCGCCTCCCTTCAAAGGTATCAGAACTGCCGGTGACAGTCGAGTGGTAGGGCAACCATGTGTCATCGGGCTATCTAGCACATGCTGATGCCTTCCTGATTCCCGAAACAGACCCCCGATCGTCCTTGGGGTCGCGTTCAACATGTCGTTAATTTTACATCAATGTTTCGAAGGTGTGTAGTGAGACCCGGCGGCTGTTCCTCCAGGCTGTGTGCATCCGGTGCCAGCCGCTGCCGTCTTGTTTGTGGCCTCAGCAAGTGGCAAGCATACGGCTGTTGTGCTTGGCTGCTTTGAGCTTGGCTGCTTCGAGTATGTTGTGCTTCTGTGAGGTAGCCATGGGGCAGGTCATGGGCATTATCATCGGTGCTTTCTCTCAGGCCTGCAGCTCATAGACAGCGTGCAAAGCCAATGCACATCAAGAGCATTCCACCTGGACTCGCGAGTTTTGTCTTGCGATCGTTGGCCCGTTGATTGTCCCGGCCGTAGTGGTACAATGCGGAGCACTTGCATCTTGTTCGGGGCTTCACCAGTCTTGGAAACAACTGTCGTTTGTCGTCTGTCAATGCGCTGCCGGCTCAGCTCCTCCTACCTACTGCAACGAAATGCAGCCATTGGAAGGCTCAGTCCGACCCGCTGGAGAATTTGCGGCTTGCGGTTGAGCGTGCAGAGGCTGCAGGTGTCGAACAGGACGGGGCTGTAGACACTGTAGACCTACATGATGAATCTACGGATCATGAAGCTGCAAGCGAGGTCTTTGAGCTGTTGCCGATCCTTGCTTTATGGTTCTTGTCTCCCGGAGGATACGCTCGATGATGTGAGGACGAAGCTTGCAGAGCTGGAAAACGAAGTCGGAAAGGACTCACTTCATTGAATCCTTCGTATGATGAGACTGCCACAGTGGGCGATTGCGGTCGGTGGGGGCTGAGCCCACGTCCTGCTGTCTGCCAGGAGCTTTCGATCTCGGTTCGGCATGCTGTAAGTGGGGAGACGCTCACAGTGGTGCGGCCCGTTGAAAGGGATGACACGATGCGGCTCAGCGGGCCCACTGTAGGGAGATTTCAGCAGACACCTAAGATGGATCAGGTACGAGCAAGACCGTCGGACACACCGGCCTACCTGCGAGAGCATGTGCTGAGAGCCACCGGCATGGGTCTCAGGAAAGGTCTGCGCAGATCTGCTGATTCTGGATTCCGTTTGACTTACGAGACTGTGCTCCACAACACATGCCAGCTATCGGTACAGTGCAAAGCCCTTCTGACGCAAGGTGACGGAGGTGTGGCTCTTCACTTCCTTTTCCAGTCGCAGGTGTCGCGGACCAGCGATTTAACCCCTTGTTTCCAAATTTGTAGGTCTTGTCAATTGTACAAGAAATTGCAGTGCTGCATATGAGATCAAAGAGCTTTCCATGCTCGCAGAGCAGAGACCGACTATCACGACATGTTTGAGTGAATGTTTGCCTGTAGCACGCTACCAATGTCACGGGGACAGGCAGCAAGAGAGTGTCGTCGTGTGTTTTTCATCTCCTCCGATGTTCTCTCGTGTGCGGTGGTTTGAGCTTTGCATGGGGTCGCCCCAAGAACGAGGTACCCGAAAGAATGTACAAGTGGTGAAAGCAACCCTAAACCCACCGCTTCTCTTTCTGCAACAGGTCTTGGACGAGAAGGTCAGCCTCCGAGACTCCGGCCTGGAGCCGAGGAAGCTTTCAACACGAGGAAACCGGAACAGGAGTTGAAAGGGCGGAAGTATACGTGTGTGAATGCATGTTTCCTAATTATCGATCTCGTAGGTTAGGAACTAGGAGATCAGTTTTCGCGATCGGAGGAATGCAGCCGTGATACTTTGATCCGTGGCCAATTTGGCGATCAGCCGATCGGCCCGGATCTTCGATCGTCGGCGTGGGAACAGCCTAGATCCAACCAGCCATGTCGTTCCCTCAGCTCAGATCAGCAGCAGGTTCCTTAGTTCGGGCTGCAAAGGAGGCTCCCTCCAGCAGACACTGTTGGTCAGTGGGGGCTCTACACTCCAGGGCCAGCTCAGGCCCTAGAGCAACAGAATGCTCCTCCGTCGGCTTCTGGGGACTGGGGAAGTGGATGGACCCGCGACGATCGTCGCCGGCAGAGGGGTGGCCGCGCAGCTCCTGCTCCCCACATCAAGCCTACATCAAGCCTGGTCGAGGAGGCAGATCCCAACGGCAACTCTCTGTTGGTGATAGATAGCAGGGACGAGGGGCTGATCAGCCCGTTCCAGAACTGGCTGGTGGACGAGATCATGTCCAATGCCGCCCGGAATATCTCGTCTGATGTTTTCGCTTGGATGAATGCGGAGCGATCGTCAGCTATCTGGTGTGCCCCTCCGGTGATCGGAGCATCCCTTCGGAGTGATGAAGATCCTAGATGTTCGAGTTTTGATCTGTGGCCGACTCCTACGTTGCGGTCGAACAAAAGGTCTGGTGCGATCGTTGGCTGTTCAGCGAGTGTCGAGCGGTGTAGAGTGTAGATCGCGTAAAGTCAGTCTGGTAGGTTAGGAATTAGGAGATCAGTTTTCGCGATCGGAAGAACGGCCGTGATGTTGTGATACGTGGCCAATTTGGCGATCAGCCAATCGGCCCGGATTTTCGATCCCGCCCACTCCACCCCATTGATCTTTCGGGGGATCTAATGACAACTCTTGTGGGCCTTCAAGCTCTGGCTTATCTGTGGACTTTACATAGGATGCTTCTGCGATCGTGTGCGGTCCGAAAACTGGGCTCCGGGGCAATCAGCTCATCGTGCGCGTCCCAATGCTCAGTCGGCGGACCCTGCCGCAGCTCCAGAATATCGTGATGCGGCATCTGATGCGGTCGCTCAGCCTCCGTATCCTGCCGCCGAAGTGGGGCCAAAAGGGATCCAGATGCCACGCGGTGGACCGGTTCCTTTGCTCGAGGGGGCGCCGATCGATCGTGCTGGCCCTCCGGGGCCGTGGGCTCAAAATGGCCACAATCTTGATGCTCGTCGTGCTGCAAAACCGACGGCTGATCCCGTCCCTGTCGGTTCGCCTCGACTGCTCGTGCTTCATAATGCCGCGGTCGAGGTCAGGCAGTCTGAGACATCTTTGGCCCCGCGGCCCAAGCCTAAGGCGAAGCTCAGTCTTCGCATGCTCCGACTTTGGAAAGAGCAGATTCGGCTCCTTTCGGTGCTCCGCGGCCTAAGCTCAAAATTTTCGCTGCCCTTCGGAGCGATGCTGCTCTGGAAGAGCCGATCGAGGTCTGTTCGGACTCCCCTGCGGATCCGATTGAGGACTTTTAGTTTCTAGCCATTTTTCCTCTTATCTTTCTTGTCCGCGGGGCAGTGAATATCTCGTTTGGTGTTTTCGTTCGGATGAATGCGGAGCGATCGTCAGCTATCTGGTGCACCCCTTCGCTGATCGGAGCATCCGTTCGGAATGATGAAGATCCGAGATGTTAGAGTTTTGATCAGTGGCCGACCCCCGCGTTGCGGTCGCACAAAGCGGTCTGGTGCGATCGTTGGCTGTTCAGCGCGTGTCGAGCGGTGTAGATCGTGTAAACTGACACATGCATATATATGCACACACATAGGTATGTAATTGTATGGTACTGCTCACATTGCCACCTAATGCTTTGTCCGAAATTCCAAAGTATTGTCGCCCCATTGTGAACCTAACTTTCCGAATCGAGGAAGGGGAAATCTTGTCTGTCCGCAGCAGCTTCATGCTCCTCCACCCTAGGAGGATGCACTGGTGACCCGGGTGTCATCAGCGTTCCAGGATAAATGCTCTGGCCAATGGATGCACTGGTGTTATGTTTTTTTCAGTGTTGGTGCACGTTCGCTCTGGCCGATCGCTGCTTTGATAACCTGGACATAATCACCGTTTGCAAATGCATGTTTCGGCCATGGATGCACTGGTAGTAAGTGTTGATGGACGTTGTCATCACGTAGGCATGGATGCTTCAGCCAATGGATTCACTGGTAGCCTGGAGGTTAGTGACCACCGTTCGGGCATCGGTGTGCTGTGGAGCATGGGTGTTGTCGCCAGTTGGAAAAGTCTTGGCAAAGGGAGCGGACCCGAACACAAGTACTAGTGCTGGTTGCACTCGCAGTACTAACAACAGCAATGCAACAACGCAGAAGTAGGAACACAGCAATATGAAGAATAATGCTAAACAGGGATGATGAGTGATGGTTCTGACAAAGATAGAGTTTGATATTGGTATGACTATGCGAATGATGGTACTCATGATGTTGGACTGTGCCACTGATGATGATAATGTTGAAACTGAAGACAGCGATGCTAGTGACAAGTGCGAAAACATGGTATCATTCACGACAATGATGCTACGCGCGCATGGCAGCAAACCATAATGACCATTGCTTCCGTTTCAGGACATCGCAATCAACTGTGAACACGCCTGAGGCCTTGTAGATGGTGACACGGTTTTCCTGGTTCAGACGCCGTTGCTCTGCGTGGGGAACTGAGCTGTGGCAAGGGGGGTGTCGGGCCCGGCAAGGTCCAGGTGTTGGTTCGCGCTTGTGTATAGAATTCCGTGAAAGAAGATTGGAGGCCACCACGGTATACATTTCTGCTAGCAGCGATAAGAGTCTTATCGCGGCACTCCTGCTTTACTGAGTCATAGCAGGCAGAGCACCGCTTCATTTGAGAACTAGCAGCATCCAACTCATGAGTGCTGTCGCTTGGGTGTCCACAAACATCCCTGCTCTTTCCAGTTGACCGCGTCCTTCGATGGGACCGCGAGAATATGGTGAGCCCGACACGGAGTTGACAGGACAAACAAGTGGAGGCGCAGCCATGAGTAGCTCCAGGATTCAATTTAGCAGGTGGGGGTTAAATTGAACGATTCCTACGAATTCCCTGGTGTGGGGGTGCGGGGGGGGTTAATTGAACGATTCATGGAATTCCCTGATTTTGGGGGGAGGGGGGTGGGGGCTAACTTGATATATCAATAGCCAATCTAGCAAAACCAGTAAACGTGCGCTACAGAGCTCATCCGCAGCTGCTTCCTCCACAACTGCTTGCGCAGTGTGTCCGATGGGAAGCATGGCTTGAGAGCACTCTGACAGATTTCGGATACCGTAATAAACTCCTCCTCCTCCTCCTCCTCCTCCTCCTCGTCCTCCTCCTCCTCCTCCTCCTGCTCCTCCTCTTCCTCCTCCTGCTGCTACTCCTACTGCTATTGCTGCTGCTGCTGCTGCTGCTGCTGCTGCTGCTAACTAACTGACTAACTAACTAACTAACTAACGAAGGAACGAATGGACGAACGGACGAACGAACGAACGAACCAACCAACCAACCAATCAATCAACCAACCAACTAACGAACTGACTGACTGACTGACTGACTGACTGACTGACTAACTAACTAACTAACTGACTAACTGACTAACTGACTAACTGACTAACTGACTAACTGACTAACTGACTGACGGACGGACG